CACTGTTCTACAAAGATGTTTTTTCCATTTTTCTCATCCATCACCTTCTAAGTCCAAGGCTGACCATCAATAAACAGCACTGAAATATTGCAGAGAAAATGTTTTTGACTCAGCAGCAGAAAAAGCCTACAGTTCTCTGCTCATTTACCCAGGGATTGTATTCAGACAACCTTCTGACCAAATCGGTTTCCTAATCAGTAACAGTACAACATGTGTGGCCTGGTGAATGTTAACCATTTAAAAATTTCTTGACTTACCATAGTATGTTGTAGAAACTTAACTCTATTCAGTTGATGAATCATACCGTATGATACTTGATCTTAGTCAAAAGGCCAAGAAGCTATTACAAAATAATTATTTAATCATGAGTAAACATGACTGTTTTGAATTATAATATACTGCTATTGTGGTTATTTTGTTTCGTACACTCCCTAGAGTCCTTCAGGACTGAGGTGATCAATAAACCATATAAATCCTATCAATAAATCCTGCTGGGATCCCTCCTTTGGTTGCAACTGAATTGCAGCTTTCCCAGAGCGCAGAGAAATGGATGCTTCAGCTTGTTTGGCATAGACCCCAAGGACTACAATAGTCAAAATTAGGATCACCCCCTTCTGATTTTTTATCCTCTTTTAGCTTATTTTTTTGGAGGGACCTTTCAAGTGCCGTATGTCAGCATTATTCCTTGGTGTTTCCAAGTTACAACAGAAACATTTTGTCATCAGAGGTCGGTTGCTCAGAAACACAGGAAGACATTCTATCTCGATGTACCACATTGGACCAGACTATCTAGATGCCTATCAACTTCATATAGCCTTCTATGCAATGAAGTGGCTTCTTAGGCTTCAGCATAGAGCAGTATTTCTTAATCTCAGCCACTTTAAGATGTGTGGACTTCAACTCCCAGAATTCCCCAGCAAATACAAACCAAATTAATATTGGGCTCACGTTCACTGAATTGTAGTTGGCTTAATAAACCAGAGTGGATTTTCTCACCAATTAGCTTGGTCAAGAAACCAGAGTTAGCATGAAATCTGAGTGTCACTGAAGTCACATAGTTTGTATGTCCATAACAAACTATGATGTCAACATGTATCTCCTGTGCAAATGACATGATTATTACATCAGGATGTCTGGGGCAATTATGTAAGTGACATCATTTGTACAACCATCCTATAATTACCTATAGTTCCCACGAAAATCTTTTTCAAAATGGCAACTTTAAGATGTATGCATTTCAACTTCTAGAATTCCCTAGCAATTCTGGGAGTTGAAGTCCATACATCGTAAAGTGACTGAGGCTGAGAAACATTGGCCTGGAAGGTTACGCAAACCTAGTTATTATGATTTATAGGGCTATTACAAGAAGATGGTAGGAATTTATTCTCCTTAGAACCAAAGAATGGAAAGACTCCAGCTTGAAATAAAAAGGAATTTCCTACACGTGGACAGGTAACAGCATTCTGGAGTTTCACAGAAAGGTCCCCCCCCCAGTCCTATCTAGAAATGCTGTGGATTAAACAGGGCTCTTTCTTGTAAAGCAGGGGTCTTCAAACCTGGCTCTTTTATGACTTGTAGACGTCAACTCCCAAAATTCCTCAGCCAGTGTGAGTGACTGATGAATTCTGGGAGTTGAAATCCACAAGTCATAAAAGGGCCAAGTTTGAAGACCCCTGTTGTAAAGCAATTACTTGCATTGCCAAATTCCCTAATAACACCATTCCTTTACAAGTGGCAAACTCACTTCAGATTTTGCAGAGTTCAGCTGCAGAGATTTCAACTCTCTCTTTAAAATCTGATCAGACCAACCGCAATATTGTTTCCTGGTTTCTTTCCTCCATTTAGAAATATATATTACAAAATAACTAGCCATAAATCTACAGGGGAGATCTCCTGCTAGGCTCCATTTAGGAATGGAAAGTTTGTTACAAGCTTCTTCCATAATATTCCTTCTTGCCTAAAAACCTGCTCAACAGTATTTCCCCAACAGGCCAGTTCCTTAATTTTGTTGCAGACAGGTCAATGCACAAGAATGTGCAAGAATGATACAACAGAAGCATGTATCCTTACTAAACAAAAATATTGTGCACTAGAGTTCTCCTCCTCAGTCTTAAATGCCAGTCTCTGTTTTAGCAGGCATGCCCTCTAATTACTGTACCTGTCCAGTCTAAATCAGAAAAATAAATGTATAAGATTTCAGGCTATACAAAACAGGCACTGCTGAAAGTAATAAGCAACATGTTCAAAGATCATCTTGCAGCCTACTCATATTGGCATAAGTTTTCCATTTATAAGGCAAATTTTAATGGAGTGCAAAAAAGGGCATTTTTGCATATTAGTTGTACTGTTCTTTCCCAAATCCAACAGGCTTTATGTGACTTGGTGTATAAATATTAGGAGAACCAGCAAAACTATTCTAGCTAGCTTCAGAAGCCAAATATAAAATCCAAACTTAGATTTTTTTCCTAAATCTCATCAGTGTTCCCTACTGCCTAAGTTCAGGTTATTACTTGCCTAAAAGAAACCTGGTCAGAAATATTCCTAACATGTTTCTCAGGAACACAGAAAGTTTTCATATGGTATTAGACCACTGGCCCTCGTCAAGCCAAAATCAGCATAGCAACTTCAGAATTTTGGGCAACAGACTCTGCTAGTCATGTCAGATATTAAAAATGGGGCCTTCTCCAGGCAAAAAACCTGCTACAAGCTGTCTTTTTCAGGAGTACTGCCTACACATACCTCTAATGAAAAAAGCCTAATCAACCAAGGTGTCAAATGAAGATCTCAGGGGTTAGGGTTAGGGTTAGATCTAGAATTCACAACATCTGGTTCTCCATAGGTTTGTATTAGAGCAGTGGTTCTCAACCTTTCTAATGCCACGACCCCATAATACAGTTGCCCATGTTGTGGTGACCCCCAACCACTTATTACATCACCGGGTGCCAGGGGCTTGGCCAAAGAAAAGGGGGGAAAAATGGCGGACAGCCTTGTTTGGCGACCCCTGTGAAATGGTCGTTCGACCCCAAATGGGGTCCCGACTCACAGGTTGAGAACCACTGTATTAGAGCATTGGGGTCAAACTCGCTGCGTCACATGATTTATCATGATTATTTTCCCCTTGTAGCAGCTGGGGTGGGTACGGCTTCCGTGTGACACATCCGGCCTGCAGTTTGACACCCCTGTATTAGAGTGTTCTTAACAGAAGGCTGTGCAGCCATTGTAATAGGCCAATCTTTTCTCCAGGTATCTTCCAGGTGTGTTGCATTCTCACACCAATACTATCAGTCAGAATGATGGACAAAGCCAAGAAGCCAGCAGGATGTCTGTTTGGAGAAAGAGATCATAACTATAGGGAGGGGCAACTATTTTAAATATATACCTTGGCTGCTAGGGAAAAACACACATTTTTCTCCTGCAGACTCAGTTGTGTCCCAGTGGGGATCACACACAGATGGTGGAGGAATACAATTTAGCCCATGCTCGCCAGTCTTATTCCTGATCCAATTAAATTTCCAAAAATAAACCAGAGTAACCTCTAAGCTGCCCAGCATATAATACACTTAGCTACAAGGTTAACCTGAAAGAATGGGGTGTCTTTCCAGAAAAATACTTTTTGTACAACCAGGGGGTCACGATGGTGGGTGCAGTCAAAGCTCCACCTGTCCTTTATATCAGAGGTCCCCAATCTTTTGGGCACCAGGGATCGGTTCCATGGAGAGAGGTTTTTCCGCTGACCGGAAAGTGCATGCTTTTGTGTGTTGCCTGCATCTCACAGAGGGGTGGACCGGCTGCAGGGGTTGGGGACCCCTGCTTTATATACATCAGATGGCATTGTAATTGCACCATGATTTAATTGACCATTCCAAGGGGCAGCTTAATGCTGTTAAGTCAGGTAATATGGAGCACATGCCAAGAGAAACAAGAGTTTCAAGCACACATGAACTTGTCTTTATGTTCATCCTTGCACTTCTTCTCTAGCAATAGGACTTACTTATATACTGCTTCACAGCCCTCTCTAAGCAGTTTACAGAGTCAGCAATTTGCCCCCAACAATCTGGGTCCTCATTTTACCGACCTCGGAAGGATGGAAGGCTGACTCTACCTTGAGCCCGCCAGGATCAAACTCCAGGCTGTGGGTAGAGATAGCTTGCAATACTGCACTCTAACCACTGAGTCACCAGGGCTCATAGATTGTTGGAAGCCGCCTTCCATAATTTCCTGGGCGCCCATGTACCTCATATTAGAGCCGAGGTGGCGCAGCAGTTAGGGTGCAGTACTGCAGGCCACTTTAGCTGACTGTGTTCAGCAGGTCAGCGGTTCAAATCTCACCGGCTCAAGGTTGACTCAGCCTTCCATCCTTCCGGGGTAGGTAAAAGGAGGACCCAGATTGTTGGGGGCAATGTAAATATATATATACATTGCTTACTGGTGTACACCGCTTAGAGAGTGCTTGCACTTAAAGCGGTATATAAGCCTCATAAATAAATAAATAAATAAATAAATAAATAAATATGGCTACAGAGCATCTCTGGAGGAACATACAGGTAGTCCTCAACCTACGACCACAATTGAAGCAGAATTTTTGTTGCTAAGCAAGGCAGTTGTAAAGTGAGTTGCTCCCAACTTCACAACCTTGTTTTGACCACGGTTGTTAAGTAAATCACTGCAGTTGTTGAGTGAATCATGCAGTCACCAAACAACTCCAGCTTCCCTCACTGACTTTGCTTATCAGAGGCTGGCCAGAAAGTTCCCCTTTTTCCTGCCATTGTAACTTCCAATGGTCACTAAATGAATGATTGTAAATTGAGGACTACTTGTACCCCCTTTCCCTGAGGGGCAGCTTTTCTGTTGGGCTCTACAGAAAAGACGGCAAAGCAGCTCTGGGAAGGAGACTTTCAGCAAACAAAGTTCTTTTCCTACGCACCATAGCTTTTTCTCTTAATTCACACACACACACACACACACAGAGGGGGGCTGGTGGACCCCCAGAATCAACCTACCTAGCTTCATCAGGCAGGCGAGCAGGATCCAGAGCGTAATCTCGAAGGGCAGGTGCACATACTTGTACTGAAAGTCCAGGACTGGGAAAACTTTCCGATGTTTGCCGTGCCCGTCGGTGGAAACGTTCTTGGGGCGTCCGGTGTCGGAGGGGCTCTCGGCGGGAACCGGCGGAGAGGAGGTGATGCCCTCGGTCACCAAGCTGGGCTGCCGAGTGATCTCCATGGGAGTATCCGAGCCGGAGCTCTGAAGCACCGGCAGCAGCCCCAGCAGGGCAGCTGCGCCAAAGAGGAAGGGCAACCCGCGGAAGGAGCAGCGGGGTCTCCTCGGGCATTGCGCCGGCATGGTGGTCCTCGTTCCCGGGAAAGCAGAGGCGGAGAAGAGGGGTGTGGATTCCGAGGACCTGCCTGGCGCTCAAGGCTTCATTGAAGGACGGGGGGGGGGTCTGCGGAATCAGCGAAGGCCACCGACGAAACGGAGCCCGAGGAAATCCACCCGAAGCGGCGCTTGACTGGGCGAAGCGCTCATAATAAGAAAGCCCAGCTTAGGACGGGGCGCCTGGCTGCGCCTTCCTGCCCGCCTTCTTCGGGACCGTCTCTGCAGGGCGAGGGAGCAAAGGGGGGAAAGGGGCGAGGGGACGAGCGAAAGCCGGCGAACCGGTCACCTGCCAAGGCAACGCGAGGCAGCCGGACCAAGCCACCCGGCTACCCAAATCTGCCTTCCAGGCGAGCGCCTTGAACTTGCGACAGACCTCTCACCTCCAAGGACAGCCGAGCAGGGCAGTTCCCAGGGGCTGGCTGAGAGCTGGAGCCACCGCCGCTGGAGAAGACCCGGCCAGGAGATGGGGGCAGTGGCGAGCGAGCAATCGGACAGCCCAAGCGGCAGAGAAAAGCCGGCAAGCGTAGTCAGGCCGCTCCCCACGGCTGCGGGAGAAGACACCTCGGGGGCGGGGTGGGACGGCTTCTTTCCCCAGGAGCAGCCGGCAGGCCAGGCGGCGGCCGCAGCAGGCACGGAGGGCTTCGGCTTCTCGGAGCTGGGAAGAAGGAAGCTGAGCTTGTTCCGGATCCTCGTGCGCCGCAGCGGGGCAGCTCCGCCCGGGGCCGGCTGCTCCTCCCCGTGGCTCCCAGCGCGCGCCCGGAGGACGCTGCCTCCCGCCTGCTCGCTCAGCCTTATCTACGCCGAGACAAGGACGCCGCGGGGAGAAGCGGAGGGAGAGGAGGGCGCCGACGCCGCGCCTCCCTCCCTCCCTCGCCCGCCCGCCCGCCCGCCCGCCGCCACAGCAGCCTCCGCCGGCTGGAAGCAGCACTGCACGGGAGCCTCCGCGTCGCAACCAGGCGGCAGGGCAGGCGAAGGAGGACGGAGGAGCGACGCTGCAGCCTGGTCCCCGGCTTGGAGACGTCTCGGCCGATCAGGCTTTTAGCTCGCCCGTTCCGGCCAGCCGCTTTCGAGGGCAGCTACGGGTTGTCAATTGAAACACCTGGGGAACGGCAGCAAGCCGCGGCGGCGGGCGCTGGGTCACACCTCCCGCTGGGCGAAGAGAAATCACCTCAGCAGGTCTTAAGTGGCGCTACCAAATCTGGGTTGCTGATATCCGGTAGGCGAGAGAAGGCCTCGTTCCAGCACCTTCCTAGTATAGAAGGGAGCAGTTGGGCTGGGGTATTAGAGAAGTCGTGTACAGATAGTCCTCGACTTACAACATTCGTTTAGTGACCGTTTCAAGTTACAACAGCGCTAACAAAGGGACCTGTGACCATTATTCACACTTATGACTACTGCAGCATCCCCATGGATTAACATTCGAGTGCTTTTGGCAACTCATATTTATGCAAGATGCAGTGTTCCGGGATCATGTGCTCAACTTTTATGACCTTCTGACAAGCAAAGTCAAAGGGAAAGCCAGATTCACTTTATAACCATATTATTAACAGCTGCAGTGATTCACTTAACAACTGTCACAAGGAGGGTCATAAAATGGGGCAAAATTCACTTAATAACTGTCTCACTTAGCAATAGAAAGTTTAATTGTGGTTGTAAGTTGAGGACTACCAAAATAGATAGTCCTTGATTTATGCTCACAATTGGGACTGGAATTTCTGTTGCTAAGTAAGCCAGTTGTGAAGTGAGTCATTTTCTGACCTTTTTTGCCACAGTTATTAAGCGAATCCCTAAAGTTGTTAAGTAAATCACGCATCATTAAGCAAATCCGTCTCTCTCCCCCTCCCTCCCGACTTTGCTTGTCGGAAACTGGCTGGGAAGGTTACAAATAACAGTCACATGACCCCGGGACACTACAACTACCATATTATAAATACATGCCAGTTGTCAAATGCTCGAATTTTGATCACATGACCATGGAGATGCTGCTATGGTCATAAGTGTGAGGACTAATCATAAGCCACTTTTTTCAGTATGGTCGTAACTTCAAACGGTTGTAAGTCAAGGACTACCTGTAAATTGTGCTTGGTTTGGTGCAGTGGATCAGCCGGTGGCTCTCGAAATGTGGTTTTTTTTTCATGTAACTTCCTGGATGAAAACACATCAAAGCAGGCACACAGGGGAGCCAGTTTGGTCTAGCGCGGTGATGGCGAAACTTTTAGAGACCGAGTGCCCAAACTGCAACCCAAAACTCACTTATGCATCCTCGGGTGCCTGGTGGGTGTGGCCCATTGGGTGGGCATGGTCCATTGGGTGGGCGTGGCTGCAGTGGTAACGGCAGACTGGGTGGGACTACAAAGTTCAATCAATCAATTCCAACTTTGCAAGATCTTTTTTTTTTCGCCCGCAAGAAGCTGAAATTGACTGATTGAACCTTTTTTTTTGTTTTTTTTGCACATGGCGGCGGAGGCCTAAAGCGAAAAGATTTTATAAAACCCATCTGAAGGCCTAGGACTGGGGCGACGGTGCGAATGCCCACAAAGAGGGCTCTGAGTGCCGCCTCTGGCACCTGTACCATAGGTTCGCCACCACTGGTCTAGCGGTTAAGGCACCAGGCTAGAAAATGGGAGACCATGAGTTCAAGTCCCACCTTAACCATGAAAGCTAGCTGGGTATCTTTGGGCCACTCACTCCCTCTCAGCCCAATCTACCTCACATAGTGGTTGTTGTGGGGAAAATAGGAAAAGTAAGTTCATGCCTTGAATTATTTGTAAAAATAAGATGGGATATAAATAAATAAATATATAACAATAATATATAAGTAAATAAAATTCAACTAATTCAAAACAATTTGCAATGCATTAGAAAAGGCTCATTTTAATAAAAAAACATTTCTAGCTCAAATAATTATAAAATATAATACATTAAAAACATAAGACAGGATATGGAGTATTGTTACAAAATAGAAGATGAGGGCCTTCTCCAAGCTCAGAGTCAGCTGAATGGTCAATTGCCGAGAATCATCTATCTCTGTGGTGGCGAACCTATGGCACACGTGCCAGGGATGGCACTCAGAGCCCTCTTAGTTGGCACACGCGCCACCGCCGCCAGCAGCAGGTCCATCAGGCCACCACCACCACCCAGAGCAGGAGCCCCGTCCAGCACAAAGGAGGCGAAGCGTCCAACTAGCAAGCTCAAGTGAAGGTGGTGCAGCAGAGGTCACCAACCATTGTCAATTGGTGGACTGGAAGAAAAGGGAGGAGGAAGCATTTTACATGCGTGCATGTGCGCACGGGGCTGCGAGCACGCATGCACTGCAAATGAAGCAGCGCTAGTGCCTACATGATACTCACTAGCCCTGCCCCATTCTTGTGTGGTGCAGCGCCTTGTATCTGCACCCCACGGCATAGTTGGCGGCCGTTTTTGTGCCTTACAGCATGGTGGCCCATTTTTGTGCTCCCGGTTTTTGTGTGGCAGAGGCGGCACTCAGAGGCACCTCCCGGCCCCCCCCCCAAGGGCACCACAATGTTGATGCGGCCCTGGCACTTTGTGAAAAATAAGTGGGTTTTGGGTTGCAGTTTGGGCACTCGGTCTCTAAAAGGTTCGCCATCACTGATCTATCTGATGTGCTTTGTAAGCTCCAAAAAACTGTATATTTTTTCTCTCCTTGTGTAAAACAAGGCATTCTAGTGTTACACAGATATTCATGAGAGATTGTACCATCAAAATCAGCTGAGGTTAGTTAACTTGCCACCAGGCAAGCTTTTATTAACCACAAAAGAAAATAGTGGCAATTGCATTTTTTTCTTCAAAGTTCTCTGAACCTTAAGGTGCAATGCAATGTGATTAAGTTCACAGCCTCTCTTCCTACATGCTGCAGCCCCGTCAACAACTGCCTCTGCTCACTTACGCTATTAATAAATTTGTAAGAGACGGATATGTGTTGCAATTAGGCATTTGTTTCATATCTGGTTGGTCTCTAAAAAACTCTTTTCCAATTCTTCCTCGAACCATAGTGAGTTCTCAACTTTGACCAGTGAGAAAATGAATTTAAAAATTCAATATAAGCTGCCCACAAGACACACAAAAACTAGCTGGCAATAATCCTGAAAAATGGTAAAAATTATGGACATTGCAACACTCTACCCTGCAGCAGCCACACCACTGCAACTGAGACTCAGGCTGCATTTTTCACAGGGCTGTAAAGATAAGTCAATTTGCAAAAAACAGCCGAGGAGTGGAGTTAGTAAAGAACATTCTGCAGATGCTGCCTCCATGTGGAAAAATAATATTTTTTTTAACAGAGGAACTAAGCTGCTGAAATTACGAAAGTCTCAAAGTAAGATGTAAGATGAAGGTTATCTTCAAAAATGGTGCAGTCAGGTTACAGTCTGGGAGGCTTTTGCCTGCAGACAGAGAAAGACATTCATTTTCCCCAAAGGGCAACATTGGAAGTTATTAGAACTGGAACTCATTCTTGTACATTCGACAATCTTGCTGCAGTTACCATATACTGTACTGTACAATAATAGTTCCCTGCATTTCTTTTCTAGTTCAGCATCCATAAAGTGTAATAAAAAATAATTCTGGTTTCATCGTATTGTCCTCAACAGTTCCAAGAAGGCTCCACAACCATTTGCACTACTCAGGTGACCCTGAAGACACAGATAAGCCTCCAGGTAGCATTAACGACTCACTAAAACAGGAGTGTCAAACTGCCAGCCCACGGGCCGGTTGCATCATGCAGTGGCTGCATCCACCCCAGCTCCGGCAATGCAAAAAAAGTTGCAATACGTTGCAACATGTCAATACGTTATAACACCCCTGCATTAAAAAAATGCAAATGAACAGCTGTCTGAAGCAGTATAAATCTTTCCCACCAGAGCTAAAGAAGCTTCTTGGATGAGAAGTGAAACGTCTTCAAAGAAAAACAAGAAAGTCCAGTTGCCTTGTGAAAATGCATCTTTGGGTTTCATCGTAATATTAGTCTACAATATCTTTTGCATCATGTATGAATTTGCACCCAAAATTCATACTGCACAGCTTAAATTTGCTGAGGTTCGGAAACACTGACTTAGTGTATTGTGTGAACTGGGATTTGTTCACAAAACAGTGACCCAGCGATCTATGTTGAAACAACCCAGCTTTTGTAGGGTAATTAGCTCCCCCATCATCCACCCCCCCCACCCCCAGGCTGGTTTAATCTGAGAACGGTGTGATAGAAATCCCATATGTTTGCCCAGACAGGTGCCCTATATTTAACTGGCCATTTGCTTAGAACATGTGGGCAAGGATTCCTATATCTTAAGGGTGTAATTTTACATACTTCTAAAGCAGCTGCTTCTTTGAAACATGTCCTGTATTCCTCCTTGGCAATATTCCATAAAAATATCACTGTCTTAAACTTTGTAATTCTGTGCATTAGGAAATAAATTCCCAGGAAGCATCATATACAACTTAAGGGACTCCCCTACCACCACAAAAACGGTGGGTAATGTTGCTGCTGCTGACTTCCTCCCTTCCTAACTTCCAACATTAATACTGCTTTCTCTTGTTCAGTATTTTTTAAAGGGTAATGCAAAGACTCCTGGGGATCTCCAAAGATCTTAGGATGTCCACAGAATCAAAATGATCTGCCAGATATTGAAGATATTTGAATTATTATTTATTTCTTAAAACAATATAGTTATTTTCATTAATTTTAAAGATGTATGTAATATTTACAACGATTGTTATTTTTACCTGATTCAATAAATAATATATGAAGGCATCCATTTTAATTTTTAATACATTAAACATCGATAAATATAAACCATAGAATCTAAAGTTCTTTTAGGATCATTCAAACTTTTTAAAAATATGAGGGGGTCCCGAGCACAAAAAGTTCAAGAAACACGGCTCTAACTTGACTCCTGAGACCATTGAAAACTTCAATTCCCAGCATCCCCTCCACCCGTGATAACCCCGCCCCTTGTGTTCCCTGTGTCGTCTCCCTCTTTCTCTTACTCTAAGTGCGCAGATTGGCCCGGGCCGCCCGCCAATTGGCGGGTTCCCTTTGGGCGGAATAGCTGTCACTCCCCTCCCGACCAATGGGACGTGGAGAGTTAAAAAGGGTGGGTTGCTTATTCCCGGAGCGTCTCTGCGCCGCTCGCGCGGCGGAAGGGCCGGCGCTGAGATAGAGGGCTGGTGGCGCAGTTAGCGTCGCGCAGGCGCACTGCCGGGCGCAACGGTGGAGAAAGGGGAGGGAGGGAGAAGAGGAGGGGGAGGCGGCGTTGGGGGCTTGCTGAGCCCGAGACAGCTGGAAAGGATAAACAGAGGCGGGGGCCGCGGAGGTCTCGGGTCCCAGCCGGGCCGGGCAGTGCTGCGCTGCCTGGCGAGCGGCTCAGGCGGCCGTCCAGCCACTCTCTCACCTCCTGGAGGGGCCCCTGCCCTGGCACAGGGGTCAGGCCGCCCCCTGCATGGAAGTTCTGGGGCTTCGTCCACTGGCTGCTGCGGCTGCTGAGCCTGCCTTGAGGAGGCCTGACAGGTAACCCCGGAGCTCTCCTTCTCCTCCGCCGGAGGAGCCTGCCTTCAGCCCTGCCCCCCCCGCGCGCATCTTCCGCTGGCTGGACTACAACTCCCATAAGCCACGGACGAGGGGGGGCGAGAGGTAGTCTCTACAGCTGGGGAGCGATGGGGTGGGCGGGGGAGGAGGAGGAGGAGGAGGAAGGCTTTCCTGCTTCCCCCAGAGGTGTCCGTGGTCATCGTCCTCCCCCCGCGCCCCTTGATTTCTCATCTCTTGCCCCCCCCCAATCTTCTCCCCTTCCTTTTTTCGTGGCTCTTCCCAGCAGATTCCAAAAGGATGGTGGGTGGGCTAGGAATCTGCCCTCCCCCCAAAATCTGCCACTGGTCCCCCCACCCCACTCCAAGAGAGAAAAGATCTTGGGGCACCTGCTTTCCTATTGCCAAAAAATTTGGGAAATGTCTTCACGTCCAACCAGGGGGTGCATCCACTTTGCCCCCTTTCTCCAGCCTGACACTAACTCTCCAGAGTTTGGGATGGGTGCCTCCTGCCCCATCCTGATCTTCCAGGAGATGCTGTCAGGATCCCAGGAACTACTGAGTGTGAAACATCTTTGAAAGCCCAAACTTCCTTTGCTCCGCACAAAAACTTCTGGCAGAGGAGCAAGGAGACTTTGTGCTTTAAATTGCACTGTGCAGGGAAAGTGAGACGGAGAGCAAATCACTTAAGGCACCACAGCTCTCCCTCTGGCCACTTGTCTGCTCTCTCGACCTACTTTTTTCTCTTGAAAGCTTTTTACCTAGTCTGTGTGCTGGTTGTTGGTGTTATAATGAATGGGGCAGGGGTGGAAATGTCTTGTGGACTCAATCTTTGGGTTGAACCAGTTGAGGTGGAATGAAAATAACAGCAATCTGAAATACCTCCTGAGCATGTGCACAAGCCGTTGCTCACTTCCTATTGCTCCTACTGTACAATATTCCTTGCACTGATCTGTCAAGTTTGTTTCCATGCTACAGTTTTTTCCTGCTTTACTGTAATGACAGTCAAATTCTTTGTAAAAGCAGTTGCTGAGTTGAATTTGCAAGAAATTAATTAGGGTTTGTTAGATTTGGGGGTTGATGTGTGGTTGTACTGATTGTGGTTTGGTGTTACATAAGAATCTGGGCCTTGAAAAAGCCTGATTTACTCTTTCAATGATTAATGTCCTTTCTTAGCTTATTGAGTTTCAGTGGTTTATAATTTCTACCAATTATCACACTAAGGATCTTGTTATGGGGAAGTGATTTTTGGTTTGCTTGACATATTTAAACATAAATTAATCACATAGGGCTGTGTTTGGCCAAAATGCTAGCTAAGACATGATTAATCTCTCTGTGGTTCAGAGTATTGTGTGAATACAGATTGTTTCATTCTGGGGCTTGCTAGTATATTAGCTTTGGAGAGGTTTATCCGAAATGTTGGGTTCATAAATTCCTAAATAGCTTTCTCAGAAACATAAACTCTTGGCTATGTTACTAAGGTAAAACATTTGTTTTGTTGCATTGTTCTAATTTATATTTTATCTTATTTTTAAATTTTTAATATACTCATACATTTTGGGTTTATTTTGCCTTGGTGCCATGTTTTCTGGGTTAAGCATGTGCACATATCCAAAACAGACTATTATATATACTTTTATTAACATACATTCATGTATCCTGTATTTAAAAATAGTGTTGCTATTAACTTTTACTAGAAGCCTAAATATTAACTTTCAAAACTAGTCCAGCCTGAATTTATGATGAGCATCACATGCTTTGTTGATTTATTTGGGGTATAGAATCTTGTGTGCCCCCAGTAATTACTGTTAATCATTTCTGGTCTGCATGTGTGATCTCATCCAATTGTGACTTGCTCAACAAACTATGACTCAACCTATGTGTGTCCATTTTATATGAATCCTTAAACTTTCTTTTGGATCCCTTTAAGGTACAAATTTATATATATTCCTAAATTATGTGTTGGGGATTGTATTTCTGTAGTTTGTTTTCTGTTTTTGATATTTTTTTTGTTAAGATTTAATTTTCCATGTTTAAAAATGAATTTCTTCTAAAAATGCTTCTGTATTTTTAAGAGACTTCTTTCTCCCTAATAACCCAAGCCACATGTCTGATCCAGCAGTATTGTTTATCAGAAATATGAGAGCTGGTATATAGTATCTATAATGGGAAAATTGAATCAAAAATCTTTTAGTATATCATGAGGTCCACCATGGGTTTTTGTGGTGGGCCTTCTGAGCTCAGATCAGACTATTGACTTAAGAACTAAGTTTTCATTTGTTGCTCTAAAAACATAGAAGCCCCAATCTAATTTTTCTCTATTGCAATAGCAACTTTTAGCATTCATAGCTTTACAATGTACTTAATATATTAAGAGAAATTTTAAAAATGATTTTTCTCCAAGTAATAGTCATTTTGGATTGATTATAATTAGTACTTTCTGTCATCGCTTCTTCTGGGAGCAAATTATATTATTACATCTTTCTTCATCCTCCGAAACTGTACAGTTCAGTTCCCAGAATTCTGAGCAACAGGCACGCTGGTTTTGAATTCTGGGAATTTAAGTTACATATCTGAAAGATGACTTTGTCAGGCAACACTAAGCTATGGAAACAGATAACTACACTTAGCAGTCATACAGAATTGTTTTCTAATCCATCGCAGAATGCCTCTATAATTGAGATTACATATGTAAAATATTAAATTGCTTATACAGTATATTAGGCAAATATTAGAGAATTTACTTTCCAAACATTTTGTGGCATCTTCTAAAGCCAAATGTATTATCTTTTTCGGATTGAGAGCTGCATGGGCTCTTTGAATTAGATGTCAGAAGAGGGTGCATTACCCCCAAAAAATGAGCAGAACCAGAACCAAAATTAAATTTCATTGAAGGTATATTTATTTTAATCAAATCCCCATTAAATAATATGATTACTGCCATATACTTCAATAGCAACAGTAAGCGGTGAATGCGCCAGCACTGGAAGTTTTTAAGAAGAGACTGGACAGCCATTTGTCCGAAATGGTATAGGGTTTCCTGCCTGAGCAGGGGATTGGACTAGATGACCTCCAAGATCCCTTCCAACTTTTTTATTATTATTATTATTATTATTATTATTATTATTATTATTATTATTATTATCATCATCATCATCATCATCATCATCACCATCATTTTGAGAGTAGCATTTGATTGGTACACTTTTTTATCAGTACAGGTAATCCTCAACTTATGATCAAAATTGGGACAAAAATTTTTGTGGTTAAGCAAAGTTATTGTTAATTGAGACATGTCCAATTTTATGACCCTTTTCCCAAGGTTGTTAAGCAAATCACTACAGTTGTTAAGTGAATCACACGATCACTAAGCAAATACAGCATCCCCCATTGACTTTGTTTGTTTGGAAGCCATCTGGGAAGGTCACAAATGGGAGACAGATGACCACAGGACACTGCAACATGACAGTTGCCAAGCACCCAAATTTTGATTATTTGACCCAGGTTTGCTGCAATGATTGTGAGGATTGGTGATAAATTATTGTTTAAAGTGCTATAATAACTTTGAACAGTCACTAAATAAATGGTTTTAAGTCAAGAACTACCAGTATAGCCTGGCTCGCTGAAAACATTGTGAGAATAAAATACAATTATTTTTTCTTTAGGTTCTTTTGTGAATGATTAGAATAGCAACACACCAACCAGCTCCTGATCACTAATATTCAGCCCATAATGACTTCCAGATCACCATGGAAGTCATGAATGGAACATATAAGCCTTCCATTTCATCTTCCAAAATGTACCTCTTTTTTCAATTTCATCACTGTAGTTGTTAGAGGAAGCTTTCATCTTTAATATTTCAGAAGTCTTCAAATATTTCATCAATTCTACTGCGCTATGGCAGGATGGAATGATGTTCTTTGATATCAGTAATGTTTTGGGGAGCAGCTTTGCAATGGGCTGTCTGTGTTAACTATTGATGTTGAAGATATCAGGATTTTATATATTCCACTGACATTCTGCATTGTTGTTCTATTTCTCAACATTGAAAGAAAATTCTTATTTATTTTTTAATGCAAATTACATGAAAAAACGATCTTGATTACAAAGTTGTTTATATTGTACACATAATAGTCACTTTTTATTATATATGGTTCCTGTAATCACCTTATGAGTATTTATCCTCAAAATTGGTGGATGTCTTAAAATGAGATCCTGTGTGATCATTTAAAACTTCTGAAAGCCATGGGATGGGGAGAGTATTTTATTTTCCACTGAGAACTATATCTAAGAATTTAGACCAAGACTCCATCTATGGAGAGGGATGTACATACAGAAATCGAACAGCTGAGGGAAATTTTTGAAAACCTCAGATTAAAATTTCCCTTTTCGGCTAGAACAGCTCCATAATTTGATGTATAAATAATTTCAAAGCCTTTTCCTCTCTCCTCCCCCGTTTCTCTCCAAACTACAGGTAATTTCAATGCCTTCTCAATGGAAATGAACTCTGCTGGAATGCTTGGATTCACAGCAACACCATCACTAACTTGCTTTCGTAGGCCCTATTGTCAGAAGATGGCAAAAGCAAATATTATTGGAGACCTCATTAGCAGGCAGCTCAAGGTACTTCTTGTCCTAAAGAGTCATGGACAGCATTTTGCTAGAGGGTGAGCTGAAGTGGAGGAGGATAGCTTTTAAAGAGGCCATCTTGGGGACTGATTTTCTTGTTGCTCCTGTCTGTTTGTTTGTCTTGTTCATCAGAGACTGCTTTGTGTCTTTGCCAGAAGTCATGCCCAAAATGAACGGAATAAGCTGCTGGTCCTTATTCATACTTTTCTCATTCTTTGCATTGTTAGAAAGGGCCCTGAGCAGTTAGCAACAGATCATCCTTCCTGTTGATCCTAGGCGCTCCCTTCTGCTATCATACATTCAGATTATTCTCCCTGGTTTTGATAGGAAATTTGACTAACTGTGGTTACTGCTTATTGTGATCTTCTAATTTGAAAGCTTGTTAAACATCGACTGGGTGACATTTCTATGAGGTGTTTCCTAAGCTAGTTAGGAAACCATGTTGTTCATCTGTCTTCATCAAAATGCAAATGACATCAAGTCTTGTGCCCCATTGTTTAGTCTTGAGGCCCATAATATTCAACATTTTAATGTCTTGAATGAAGAGATAGAAATAGATGAATAGATACATGAAGATGAAGAGAGAGGGAGAATTTGCAGATGACACAAAATTGGAGGCATAACTAATGCTCTGGAAGATGGAAATGAAATGTCTATGGAGATTCTCAGTCATCCAGGTCATGGTTGTCCCAAAGGTACTTTTTCAAAAGGCAACTGGAATTTCTTTGTTTTTGCTTGAAGACATTTCACTTCTCATCCAAGAAGCTTCTTCAGTTCTGAATGAATAGTGGAGAATGGAAGGATTTATATTCCTTGTAGTCATCTGATCATTAGCACTCTTTTTGAGAGTCATTGAGGCCACTTGGAGGTTTATCTGTGCCCTCAGAGTCACCTGAATAAATGAGGAGAAAAGATTCTGCAATTCCACTTGTTAACAAGCTGAATATGAAACAATATATGTCAGTATCTAAAAATAGATATTTTTAGATGCAATTTTAAGCTGCATTCATAAAAGCATGGTTCCCAAATCAAAGCCAGCCAGAATCTTTTGGAGTGGGTGACCATAATAAATCCAGTAAATCTCCGCTATATTCTGTATTGATTAGTCTCATTTTGATTATTTCATCCACTTCTGACTGGTGCATTTCAGGAAAAAATCAGTCAGTAGAACAGATCCGGGAGGGGCAAGTTAGACGGGCCTGGATATTATCATATTTGTATGAGTATTTGGAAATCAGATGTATCTATTCTCCTTTATTGTGTCTTTCGCTGAAGAATTATGGTTGGATGTAGATTGTTCTTAAGGCCTCTCCATTAATGGTATTTATCTGTTCTTTATAGGAAAAGGGTGCCCTCAGTTTTGAGCGACACTATCATGTTACCGACCCATTCATTCAGCGTCTGGGCTTGGAAGCAGAGCTGCAGGTAAGTGGAAGATGGTCATGGTAGCAAAAACAATTAAAAATTTCTTGATTTGTAAAGCATTTTCTAGTCTATTGAAAGTTAATTATTCCTAAGCTTTTCTATCTTATTTCCCCTAATTTTTTTCTTAATGTATCTCATTCATACCTAACAGGTTGAAAAGGTAACAGGAAAGCCTTAATTTGCTAATCCCCAGGCAAACAATTATCACCATTTTTTTATCTTAGTGAGCAGGTTATCAGACTTCAGTGTGGCTGGATTGCTAGGCCTGAGATTGTTATGGGGAATTCTGTAACTGCCATGCCTAGGCCAGCTCTTTATTAGGGCCAGGTTTAGAGGTGCCAGCAACATTGCCCAGTTTGGTCTATGGTGAATCCTTCCAGTAGGAAGAATAGAAGCTATTTCAAAATGGAATGGGAACAAGCAGGGTCAGGATGCAATATTTTCACATTCTTGGTGAAATGTTAAGACCAAAAATACCCTCCCCCAAAAGAAAAAATAACAAGGAAAAATCATTTCAACGGGATAGGAGTAATCATCATCTAATTTATTTTAAATTATCCCTCTCTTTTGTTGAGATACTGTGATAATCTGGAGGCAACTGAGAGTGATGGGTGCTTCAATCCGTATTTAGAAGTTATTAGGTTGGAAAGACACCCACACCTAATCAGACTCTACTATAGGTAGAGGGTAGGGGTAGGGGTAAAATTGCAGGTAGTCCTTGTCTTACAACCACAATTGAGCCCAACATTTCTGTTGCTAACAAGACAGGTGTTAAGTGAGTTTTGCCCCATTTTATGACCTTTCCTGCACAGTTAAGTGAATTACTGCAGTTGTTAAGTTAGTAATATGGTTGTTAAGTTAATTTGGCTTCCCCATTGACTTTGTTTGCCAGAAGGTCACAAAAGATGAATCACATGATCCCAGAACATTGCAACTGTCATAAGTACATGCCAGTTGCCAAGTGTCTCAATTTTGATGCTGCAGCAATCATAAGTGTGAAAAGCAGTCATAAGTCAATTTTTCAGTGCTGTTGTAACTTTGAATGGTAACTAAATGGTTGTAAGTCAAGGACTATCTGTATGTATTTTTCCTAAATTAATCATGCTTTAATGTTATATTTAACATAAGGCAAGGGTAAAAGTTTCATCCTGTTTGCACTATTACAAAAATAGTCTTGTAAATATTAAGGATGTGGTTTGTTGATCATACAATTAAAAAATAGCATTGAATAAACCACGAGATTCTCTAGAATTCATTACTTCTCTCTTTACCTCATAGTGTAAGCTGAGATCATTTCCATATATTAACTCATATTATTCGAATCATGATGTAGGAAGTTTTATTCAGAAGATACACACATAGGCTTAGATGCATTAGGATTAATAATGGAAGTAAAATGGAACACAATTGAGAGGAAGCTCTGGAAAGCTTCAAACTGCAAGAAAAATAAGACACATCAAAGTATGGTAGATTTCACTTCATCCTTTTGAGCAAGTGTTAAATCTGAAATTGGTAAAGCTCTGACTTTTTTTTTTTTTTTAAGGGTCATGCTGGGTGTGTCAACTGCCTTGAATGGAATGAAAAGGGAAAGTAAGTATGTCTCTGAAAATAGATTTGTCTCCAAAGCTAGAAGGTGGGTCTGGGAATTGCTGGACCACCTTAGTTTGACCTTGAAGACCACTCTTAAATTTTACTTCACTCAATGTTATGTTTGAACATTTAGGAAGAGTGACATACAGTAAGGCATAACTTATTATAAGTATCTCATACAATAAACATATATGTCAAGAATTACATAATATAATTCAGACTTTGCTGAAGGTTGAAGAAATGTTTTGCATAAAGAATGCAGAGCCTATGGCTTATATTTTTGAGCACCACAAGAGTTGGATGGCTCTTATGTTTAATTCAGGCTTTAATCTGAATATGAAAGTATCCTTAAGAAAGAGTAGGCGCTTTCAATGAATGCCTATAGAAAACCTGTGTAGCCCAGGGGAGAATTTCTAATAGTATTTGCTGGAGGTGTACCTTGTTGACTTAACAGCCTGGTTAATGGATTCCTGTTGAACCAAGTTACAAATATCACTGACAGCTACTCCTTGAGAGTTCTTTGAGTGCTCTGAAACCCCCATTGGCTCTAGATCAACGGTCCCCAACCTTTGTGGCTTGGCGCCCTGGCTGGGGAACCAGCCCGTGCGAGTGGTGGGCCAGCGTGCATGATGCACATGTATGATGCACACACAGCAAGGGAGCTGTGCACGCATGTGCGTGCACGCTGGGTCACACAAGTTGAGCTACATGCACTCGTGCACACTGACCCTCCTCTCATATGGCCCAGTTCTGAATAGGCCACGACCCATTAGTGGGCCGTGGCCCTGAGGGTTGGGGACCCCTGCTCTAGATCATTGTTTCTCCACCTCAGCCGTTTTAAGCTGTGTACCCCAGTGCTTGCTGGGGTATTGTGGCTCAGGTTGGGAAACACTGCTCTAGATTGTCACACTTGATTCTGAGAGACCTCAGCAAATGAACGCAGAACGACATGGGTTTACAGCAATTGTTTGCTAATGCTTTTGTGTCTCTTTTGACTTTTTAGCTTGCTGGCCTCAGGCTCGGATGACCAGCACACTATTGTGTGGGATCCTCTGCACCATAAGAAACTCCTTTCCATGCACACGGGGCATACAGCAAACATATTCTCCGTCAAGGTGGGTGGATTTGGAAGAAGGTGGTAAAATATTAAGTACAGGTAGTCCTCGACTTGCAACAGTTCATTTACTGACCATTTGAAGTTAGAGTGGCACTAGAAAAAGTGATTTATGGCCACTTTTCACAGTTACGACCGCTGCAGCATCCCCATGGTCACGTGATTTACATTCAGATGCTTGACACCTGGTTCATATTTATGACGGTTGCAGTGTCCAAGGGTCACGGATAACCTTCTGAGAAGCTAAATCAATGGGGAAGCCAGATTCACTCAACAACTGTGTTACTAATTTAACAACTGCAGTGATTCACTTAACAAACGCAGCAAGGAAAGTCGTAAAATGGAGCAAAACTCACTTAACAACTATCTCACTTAACAACAGAAATGGTGGGCTCAGTTGTGGTCATAAGTCAAGGACTACCTATAGTTGTGTTAAGAATTAAATGTTGAGGTTAGGATGAGTACGTACTTGACTACTAAGCCAATAATCTGTGGCTGTTGAGTGACTTGCTCCTCCAAAGATGTCTTTTTATCTACCTGTGGGAAAGTCTTTCTTGCCATAAAAAATACTGTGCTTATTTTCCACAGTTCTTGCCACATGCAGAGGACCGGATACTTATTACTGGGGCCGCTGATTCCAAAGTGCATGTCCATGACTTGACTGTCAAAGAAACGATCCATATGTTTGGGGATCACAAAAACAGAGTCAAGCGTATTGCCACAGCTCCGATGTGGCCCAACACCTTCTGGAGTGCGGCTGAAGATGGGCTAATCAGGTACAGTTTCTCTGGTGTTCTGTGTTTGCCCTGCTTAGGGTTCCACTGTGTTTAATTACTGTGTTTGCGAAGAATATTATGGCCAAACCAATAAACTATAGTAGGGCTTCAAACCAGGACTCTGTAATAACACGATCCTCTAAAACAGTGGTTCTCAACCTTTTTAATGCCGCGACCCCCAACCGGCCGTAAGTCGAGGACTACTCAACCGGTCGTAAATCGAGGACTACTCAACTGGTGCAGCACCGTTTGCAGAATGGGACTTTTGGCGGGCTCAGCAGGGCAGAGACAGCCTGGACAATTCCTATTGGCTTTTGAAAGCCAATAGAATAGGCTCTATTCAAGAGAGTCTATTCTATTGGCTTTCAAAAGCCAATAGAATAAAAGGGAGTAGCACAGCTAAGGAAAAGGGGGGGAAATGGCGGACTGCATTGTTTGGCGACCCCCGTGAAATGGTCGTTCGACCCCAAATGGGGTCCCGACCCACAGGTTGAGAACCACTGCTCTAAAACAGTGGTCTTCAATCTTGGCCCTTTTATGACTTGTGGACTACAACTCTCAGAATTCCTCAGCCAGCGTGGCTGGCTGAGGAATTCTGGGAGTTGAAGTCCACAAGTTATAAAAGGGCCAAGTTTGAAGACCACTGCTCTAAAGCATGATTTCATTGAAATTGGCATTGAACAATCGACCAATATATTGCTTACTTTTAATCATTAGTTTTATAATTACTTAATTCACTTTTCCACGGTGGGGTCAAAGTGTGATGCTGCTGTTTGCTTCTGATTCCTGAAGGCCTGCTAATAATTTTCATTCTTATTTTTAATTTTTTTAGACAGTATGACTTGCGAGAGAATAGCAAACACTCAGAAGTTCTGATAGACCTGACAGAATACTGTGGGCAGCTTGTGGAGGCAAAGTGTCTCACGGTCAATCCCCAGGACAATAACTACCTTGCAGTGGGAGCCAGCGGGCCGTTTGTCCGCATTTACGACATACGCATGATCCACAACCACAGGTAACAGAAGTGAAGACTGATAACTTAGACCAGGGGTAGGCAACCTTGGCTCTTTCATGACTCGTGGACTTCAACTCCCAGAATTCCTGAGCCAGTTGAAGTCCACGAGTCATAAAAGAGCCAAGGTTGCCTAAGCTGGCTCAGGAATTCTGGGAGTTGAAGTCCACGAGTCATAAAAGAGCCAAGGTTGCCTACCCCTGACTTAGACGGCTAACTTCTGAAGTGCAAAAAAACATTTTTGTTTGAATCTATCCAACAAGCAACACATTCAAATTTCATATAGTCTTAGGTTTTTTTTTAAACTATCTAACATGACTGAAGATATCCTGTCGCACAAGCACATATACACTTATGCACTCTTGTTTACGGCTGGAAGAAAACATAGACAGTTAATTGGGGGGGGGGAAGAGCAGGTAATGATTATAAAATACTGCATGTTATTTCTCTTTAAATTTTTTCATACTTCGGTGTGTGTGTGTGTGTGTGCACGTATGTTTTGTTTGTTTGCAGATAGATATATATGCTTGTACAGGTAGATCTTGACTTAAGACCACAATGGGGACTCAGATTTCTGTCGTAAGGATGGTTGTAAAGCAAGTCATTACTGGACTGGACCCATTTTTATGGCCATGTGATCATTAAACAAATCCAATTTCCTCCATTGATGCTTTTTTGTTAGAAACTGGGTAAGAAGGTTATGAATTGCAATCATATGGGTCTCAAGTTGTAAATACAAGTCAATTGCCGAGCACCTGAATTGTGATCATGTGACTGCAGTGATGGTACGATGGTTGCTTGGGCAAGGACAGATCGCAAATCACTTTTTCTTAGACTTTGAACCTTAGCTGAACAAGCAGTTGTAGGTCGAGGACTTCCTGTAATTCAAAATATTCTGCCCTGGTCAGTTTGTTAATCTGAGATGCTATAAATCTCAGTCTGTTGCAGTAAAATTTACAAAATCTACCAGAAGTTCGCCAGTATGCTGACATAACTATGTGAACTTTATCTCTTTAATATGCCTGGGCTGTTATAGTATTTTCTCCCTCACAAATAGAAGGAGAAAAGTCTTGAGAAGAAAATGTATGTACAAATAGAAATTTTTCCTCTCTTTTTTTTGGCTAGAAAAAGCATGAAACAAAACCCTGCTGCTGGTGTCCATACCTTCTGTGATCGACAGAAGCCTCTCCCAGACGGCGCTGCTCAGTACTACGTAGCAGGTAAAATTATCTCTGGACAGTGGCCCATCAGGAGATGGTTTGAGTGTATTCAGCGAAATTCATTTTTTGTGGAGGGGGGGGAAAGCCTCTTATAGTGAGAAATGAGAGTATATTTGAGTAATTTGCACTTGGGTGGCGTAAAGATGGATCCTTAGCTGTTGATTGCTTGTGCTGCAAAGTAGTTGATGGCTTCTTTTCTTGCTGAAGGTGGATTTTGCATAATAAATGGAGGTGGCTCTTTATTATTTTAATAGATTTTTGCATTTCCTTGCAAACACTTAGCTAAGCAGGTCCATTCCATCAATTGTACACGTTAATTGTGCTTGAGGTTTTTTTTTTTTTCCCTGTAGGGCATCTTCCAGTGAAATTACCCGACTACAATAACCGTTTGAGAGTTCTGGTAGCTACCTACGTCACTTTTAGTCCAGATGGCACAGAGCTCTTAGTCAACATGGGAGGAGAACAGGTAATCTAGCAGTGTTCCAATGTCTGAGGGGCTTCCACAAAGAAGTGGGGGAGGGTGTCAACCTATTCTCCGAAGCACCTGAAGGCAGGACAAGAAGCAACAGACAGAAACTAATCAAGGAGGGAGCCAACCTAGAACCAAGGAGAACCAATTTCCTGACAGTTAGAACAATTAACCAGTGGAACAACCCGCCTCCAGAAGTTGTGGGTGCTCCATCAGTGGAGGTTTTAAAGAAGAGATTGGACAGCCATTTGTCTGAAATGGTATGAGGTTTCCTGTGTGAGCATGGGGTTGGACTAGAAGACCTCCAAGGTCCCTTCCAACTCTGTTATTCTGTTAATCTGCTGCTTTCAACATCTCACTGAACTGATTTCAGCACTCAGTTGGGCTGATCCAGTCACTGTGAAATATCAGTACATGTAAATGGTCAACCTCAGATGGCTTTCAATCCATTTATAAATTTCCCAGCACTTCAAAGCTGTTCTAGCCATCCCACACCCGTCACTACTGTACTGAATTTTATATATTGCACCCAGTAATTGCTGCTTTCTCAAATAAATTGTTCCTATAATAACTACTGCAGAGGCAAAAAAGCTGAGGAAAGTCTATAAAGAATGAGTCAGAAAATAAATGATTATGAAATTCTGCCATAATCTGTATCAGGTTCCCCAGATCAGAATTTGCCTGCAAATCTTTTGCCCCGACTCCATACAGGTAGTCCTTGACTTACGACCATGATTGGGACCAGGATTTCTGTTGCTAAGCAAGGCAATTGTTAAGTGAATCGTACACAATTTTATGGCATTTTTGCCACAGTTGTTAAGCAAATGATTGCAACTGTTAAGTGAATCATGCAGTCGTTAAGTGAATCCAGCTTCCCTCATTGGCCTTAGGTAACTATTCTTATGCTCATGAAGAGGTTTGGGAGCTGTTAATACCAAAAGCTGGGAGTCTGTGATCTGCCCTCATCAGGCAGAGCTGCTTCCCGAGCCAAAAGATGACCCGTTCTTTAGATTTCTAAGAACTGAAATCGATTTTTATCATGGTTTAGATCAGGGGTGTGAAACTCAATTTCACTGAGGGCCGCATCAGCATTGCGGTTGCCTTGGGGGGGGGGCTACTGGGTGGGTATGGCCTACTGGGTGGGTATGGCCAGCTCTACATCAAGGGTGCTTGTGGGGGCCTGGGCAGGAATGGGACAGATCTGAGGGTCTCTGGCAGAAGGGGGTGGGACCGGGGCAAGTGCCAAGGCGTGGTCCATTTCTTCATTCCTCACAAAGGGTGACTTCTCCCCAGCAGGCACCCAGGGGGTGGGGCCAACATGGCAGGGGCCGGTTCCTTGCTGTTTCCAGACGGCCTTGTGGAGCTAAGACTGAATGCGTTTCAGCATAGATGGCCACCACAAAATTGTACAGGGCCAGGGCAGTGGGGCCGTTCCCTCACTGTTTCCAGGATGGCTTAGCGGGCCACATGAAACCACTTTGTGGGCCGCATCCGGGCCCCGGGCCTTTTGTTTGACATGTCTGGTTTAGATGAAGCCAGATTTTCTGCTGTTTTCATGCAGTTTGAATCCTATTTTATGAGAGACTTTTTATAAAAGCATATTTTCCTTTGCCCTACAAAAGCACGAGTAGTTTCCACTGGACTTACATGTGTTAATCAGCACCGAGTTAAGTGTTTTCTTGTGAGTAATTCTGGCTGCAGATTTACTATTCCTCTGTGGTTTGTAGATTCATTGCCTTTCTTTGATTTTTAGGTTTACTTGTTTGACTTGACTTATAAGCAGCGGCCATATACTTTTCTCCTGCCAAAAAAATGCCACACTTCAGGAGGTAAGAAGGCTATACTTTTCTTAAAAGGCAGAGGTTCCATTGCATTGTTTTTCAAGGCCTTTTTGTGTGCTGCTTCCTTTCCATTTCAAGTAGTCATGGTCGCTAATTAAGATTTTGGAGAGACTATTTGGTGTTGTATTTCTAAAGTTGCAACTGTGGAGCCAGGGCAGTTACATCCTAGCTCCAACAATTTCACACACGGTACTTTATTTCACAGTGTCATTTTTCAGTCCTCTCCATAAAGCAGGGGTAGACAACCTTGGCTCTTTTATGACTCTGGACTTTAACTCTCAGAATTCCTGAGCCAGCTGTGCTGGCTCAGGAATTCTGGGAGTTGAAGTCCACGAGTCATAAAAGAGCCAAGGTTGCCTACCCCTGCTGTAACGTGTATCAGGAATTGTAGCATTTCAGATCTGCTGAGCTCTCTTTGGGGTCCTTATTCAAATTAATACTGATAGAATAAATGTGAATTAACTAAAACTAACACCTGCAAAATAACAGCAGGCTTCCAGCAGACATTCCAGCAAATGTGAATCTCATTACCAAGTAGATTTCAAGGTTATTTAATAACATGCTGAGTTTTGAAAAGTAGGTTGTAGAACTGGAGAGGAAAAGGCAAAGCAAAATGCAAACTTGAGAGGAGCTGCAAGTATCCCACGTCATTTCAAAAAGCAGTGAATGGGGCATTTGTCATACTTGCTTGTTTAGAGTAGAAAGAAGTGAGAGCTATGTTGCAATAGCCTACTCATTAACACCCTTTTTGATAGAGGTGATATTGGGATTTCGCAGGCATATCTCATACAGTTAGTCCTTGACTTACAATCACAATTGTGACCAGAATTTCCTTTCCTAAGCAAATCAATATTTCCAGCTATTTGTTCCTCTTATTGCATTCAAAGTGAGAGCGGTAGGTTAGTGGATTCCAGTAACACAGATCGATCTTCGCTGGTCAGTTTAGCCGTTGCCTAAGCCAGTCTTCCCCAACCTACCATCTCCTAAAGCAGTGGTTCTCAACCTTTTTAATGCTGCGACCCCCCAACCGGTCGTAAGTCGAGGACTACTCAACCGGTCGTAAGTCAAGGACTACTCAACTGGTGCAGCACCGTTTGCAGAATGGGACTTTTGGCGGGGCAGAGACAGCCTGGACAATTCCTATTGGCTTTTGAAAGCCAATAGAATTAGACTCTATTCAAGAGAGTCTATTCTATTGGCTTTCAAAAGCCAATAGAATAAAAGGGAGTAGCACAGCTAAGGAAAAGGGGGAAAAAATGGCGGACTGCGTTGTTTGGCGACCCCCGTGAAATGGTCGTTTGACCCCAAATGGGGTCCCGACCCATAGGTTGAGAACCACTGTCCTAAAGTATTAATAGCAACAATTATTTCTGTCTGGTTTCCGTTACTTCCATCTTTTTGTTCTCTCCAGTCTGTAATTAGCATATGTCATGTCTGTTACCTGTATCTTGACATCTAGCACTGGAGTGCTTGGATAGTTGGATATTGCTTGTATTCAGTACAAACAAAGTGCAATGGAGCCACCTCAGTCCACCCAAGGTCCCTTCCGTAGATGGTTGTCTTTCTGCTTTTTCTCTGAATAAACAGGTCACTATTTCCAGCTACTTGTCCTCTTACTCCATTCAAAGTAAGATTGGTAGGTTGGTAGATTCCAGTAATATGGATCTATCTTTGCTGGTCAATTTAACCATTGCCTAAGCCGGCCTTACCCAACTTACCATCTCCTAAAGTAGTGATGGCGAACCATTTAGAGACTGAGTGCCCAAACTGCAACCCAAAACCCACTTATGCATCGTCGAGTGCTGGGTGGGTGTGGCCCATTACCTGGGTGTGTTCCATTGAGTGAGTGTGGCCAATTGGGTGGGCATGGCCCACTGGGTGGGCGTGGCTGCAGTGGTAACGGCAGACTAAGTGGGACTAAAAAGTTCAATCAATCAATTCCAACTTTGCAAGATCTTTTTTTTTCCTGTGAGAAGTTAAAATTGACTGAACCTTTTTTTTTTTTTTTTTTTGGCACACGGCGGCAGAGGCCTAAAGCGAAAAGGTTTTATAAAACCCAGTTGAAGGCCTAGGACTGGGGTGACAGCACGTGTGCCCACAGAGAGGGCTCTAAGTGCCGCCTCTGGCACCCGTGCCATAGGTTCGCCACCACTATCCTAAAGTATTAAATGTCAGGCTGATTAAGCATTTTTATTTATTTATTTATTTATTGCTTGCAGTGCTGGGTCTTCTCCCAGGTTGCTAATTTCCCCAAAATTGAAAAACCAGACTGTATAGAAAAATGCCTATCTGCCACCTGCATTTTACCCTTGGTTCAGACTTATTCTATTCCTTATGGTTCTATCATTTTATTTCTATATTGCTTTGCTTCCCCGAAGAGCCCAGAATGGCTTGCGAGAATGCAATAAAAGTACCTTAAATAAACCATTCCAATAAAACCAACGTTTAAAGCCATAGCTACAAAAATTGAAGCACACTTCATTTTATGACCCCCCAGAGGTGCAGAATGGGAAAACGTCTGCCAATGGCGTGTCGAATGGCATCCATCTCCACAGCAATGGGTTCCGGCTGTCTGAAGGGCGAGCCTATGTCAGGTAAGGTGTCCTCCTTTTGTGCCAACAGTATCTAGTGCTGCATCTCCTCCTCCTCGCCTAGACCAGGGGTGTCAAACTCAATTTCATTGAGGGCCGCATCAGCATTGCAGTTGCCCTCGGGGGTGTGTGGCCTACTGGGTGGGTGTGGATGGAGTGGGTGTGGCCTAAAGGGTGGGCATGGTCAGCTCTACATCGTTCGTGTCAAGGGTGCCTGTGGGGGCCTGGGCAGGAGTGGGACAGATCTGAGGGTCTCTGGCAGAAAGGGGTGGGACCGGGGCAAGCGCCAAGGCACGGTCCATTTCTTCATGACCTCCCTAGCATGCACCCAGGGGGCGGGGCTGACACGGCAAGGGCCGGTTCCTCGCTGTTTCTAGACGGCCTTGTGGAGCTAAGACTGAATGTGTTTCAGCATAGATGGCCACCACAAAATTGTACATTGGCTCCCGGCTGGCCTGGGCCAGGGCCAAGGCAGCGGGGGCCGTTCCCTCACTGTTTCTAGGATGGCTTCGCGGGCCACATGAAACCACTTTGTGGGCCGCATCCGGCCCCCGGGCCTTGTGTTTGACATGTCTCGCCTAGACGAAACATTCATGCAGAGACTGCTTGGCTAGGAATTGTGCTGGCCACAACCAGGAACAATTGTCGCATACAGCAAGAAGCAGTTGCATATCCCTAGTTTTTGAAGGGGAGGGACTGTAAAAGCTGGGTTCACTTCACGAGCATGCATGCACTCCATGGGCCGGGATAAAAATACTTGTCTTTTTTTGGAAAAGGTCCCCTAGAAAAATCTCCCCCAAACCTATTGCAGCATCATTTTAACCTGAGGTCTGCTAGGGCTTCCATATGCAAACTGATTGGTTGACAATCCATCCAACTTATGGTTGATGCAATAAGCCAGTGGTGGCGAACCTATAGCACGCGTGCCAGAGGTGGCACTTGGAGCCCTCTCTGTGGGCACATGTGCCGTTGCTCCAGCCTTGCCTCCCCCCATGACCTCCTCCTCACCAGCAGCCCCCCTGGAGGAGAGTCGCCCCCGAACGTGGCCCACACGGAGCAGCGCAGCCAAGGACATGGCAGCCAGGCAGCGTAGACAAGACTCTGCCCTCATGCCCCATCACACATAGTTGATGCTGCAGGGTGCTGGCAGAGGCTGTGGCCGCCATGGCACTGCTGGGCTGCCTGGGTGATCTGCGGTGGGCCGTGGAGGCAGTGAGTGGCCCTGCGGGCAGGCGGGATGGGGGTGGGGCAGAGGGTGGTGCCGGTTTTTGGGCACTCGGTCTCTAAAAGGTTCGCTATCACTGCAATAAGCCATGGCTAAACCCATCATGGATTAGATTGACGTGTGAAGCAAGTTTTGGTTTCTGCAGCCCACAGGTAGAGCTGCCTCCCTATCTCGAAAAGATTAAGCTGCAGGCCAATGAGGCTTTCGCTTGCCAGCAGTGGACTCAAGCCATCCAGCTCTACAGCAGAGGTGTCCAGAAAGCCCCCAACAACGCCATGCTCTATGGGAACCGAGCAGCTGCTTACATGAAGCGCAAGTGGTAAGTGACCTCTCCCTTCCTGGGAGACCTGGCTGCAATCAGCGTCTCTAGCCAACTGGCATTGAACTTATTCCATACAGATTCTAGATCCCAGGTTACATGAATGCATTTTTCCATAAGAGACTCTCAGTGTAATTTTAGAGGTCAGTGGAATCTCTTCTAGACGGTTCTCTGGTCAGAGGCACTTGATGGGATTCATTCTGTATTGGAAAGTTGAATTTCTGCATTCCTACAAGATTTCTATCCTCCCAACAGAATTCTGCTGAGAGAATTTGGACATCCACTATATCTCACCTGGTTTACCTTGGTTCTTATAACTACAGAAATAAAACCAACATACCGTTTAGAGGGAATTGTGGAATCGTGCAGCTTGGTGATTCTTTGCACATAGGGAATCCATAGTCAACTCGTAAGATCTTCCAGATAGGGTTCTGAAATACTGGCTGGCCTCTTATAATTGGGTGGTGCAATGGCTCAGCAATTAAGATGCTGGGCTTGTTGGTTGGAAAGCTGACAGCCTGGGTTCAAGACTTGATTATCGTGTGATGGGGTGAGCGCCTAGCTCCTATCCACCTAGCAGGTTGAAAGCATGCAAATTTCAGTAGATAAATATGTACCACTTCAGTGGGAAGGTAACCGTGCCCCATGACGTCACACTGGCCACATGACTGGAGAAATGTATGTGGAAACAGATATGAGCGCTGCCCCTAGAGTCAGCCCTGACTAGCGGAGTTCCATTCTTTTCCTTCGTCTGTTAATCAGAGGATTAGAGGCACCTTCCTACATCAGTATGCAAATATGTGTTGTTGGTGGTGAGAGAATAAAAGAATCAATATTTCCAACTTGATTTTTGCAGGGATGGAGATCACTATGATGCGCTCCGAGACTGCCTAAGGGCCATCTCCCTGAACCCTTGCCACTTGAAGGCTCACTTCCGCCTGGCCCGCTGCCTCTTTGAGCTGAAGTATGTAGCAGAAGCCCTGGAATGTTTGGATGATTTCAAAGGAAAATTTCCTGAGCAAGCCCACAGCAGTGCTTGCGATGCTCTGGACCGGGACATCAATGCTGCCCTTTTCTCCAAAAGTGATAATGGTGAGGACTAAAAAGACAACACCTTGCACTCCTGCCCTAAGTGTGAAAACAGCACAGATTCTTTATTCTTAAAGGGGTAGATTTTTAAGATATACCAGTGGTGTGTGTACTGTATGGAATTAGCTTTTAACATTTTAGGAGGGGGAAAATAACTCCTGTGAAAGGGATACGTCCACGCATCTTTAAAAAAAATGCTGAGACTAAGAAACACTGACCTAGAGGGAAGCATTAGCGCATGGGAATCAGCTATTTAAATCTGGAAGAAAAAATGGAAGAAAAGCAGTTAAATCTTGATCATTTAGTGCCATAAGCCTAGACTAAAGTGTAGCTTTGGAAAAGAAACTAATGAGAATGTTGATAACTTGGATCAGAAAGTCCTAAATTCACACTCCTTTTCAGCCTTAAATTTACTGTATGGTTCTAGTGAAGTTGCTGTGTTATAATTTCTGTTCCATATCTGCAAAATTAGCTGGGAAAGAGAGGATTGTATAGAAAGTTGTCCTTGTGAAATCAAATTATTATGGTTTGTCACCAGATGTTCAGACTAGATTTGGCATTTTTATCCACCTACTGAGTCCTTTTCCAAGAATCCAGAATAGGCAGATGTTATGTTTCATGGTGTTAGAGGTATCATCAATGTTTGAGTAAAACTGCCTTTTGCAATTGACTGATGGTGAATTTGTCAATGCTGATAGTGCTCAAGTGGTGCTCCAGTTGTTTTGGGATTGCACCTATGATTATTAGTACTACCTTTGTTTTCTTGTACTACATTTGTTCTCTCCAGTTATTACTTATTAAAAAAAAAATTGCCTCCCATCTCACTTTCATGTGACTCACGTCAATGGTATCTCCCCAAAGTTCCCAAAAGAAGTAACTTAGCAATTTCATTTTGTCCAGGGGAAGACAAGAAAGGGAGTGGCCCCATCTGGCTGCGAGCAACTGGCCGCAAGGATTCAATATCTGAGGATGAAATGGTGCTTAGGGAGCGCAGCTACGACTACAAATTCAGATACTGTGGCCACTGCAACACCACTACAGACATCAAAGAGGCAAACTTCTTTGGCAGGTAGGGAAACTCCTCTCAAGATCAAGGGTAGGTTTATTTTTTGTGGTGTGTTGCTCTCTCCACAAATTCCTTGGGGGGGGGGGTGTATCCAGAGATCTACCTTGGCTGAAGTGGTGCAATGGTTAGGACAATGTTTCTCAGCCTTGGCTGCCTGAAGATGTGTGGACTTCAACTTCTTGGCTGGCTGGGGAATTTTGGGAGTTGAAGTCCACATATCTTCAAGTGGCCAAGACTGAGAAATACAGGTAGTCCTTGACTTGCAACAGTTCGTTTAGTGACTGTTCAGAATTACAGCGGCACTGTAAAAAGTGACTTAGGACCGTTTTCCACACTTAATGACCATAACAGCATCCCCACGGGCACGTGATTAAAATTCAAGTGCTTGGAAACTGGTTCGTATTTAGGACGATTGCTGGGTACCAGGGTCACGGGATCCCCTTTTGCAACTTTCTGACAAGCAAAGTCAACGAGGAAGCCAGATTCATTTAATAACCGGGTTACTAAGTCAACAATTGCAGCGATTCATTAGCAACATAAATTTTGGGCTCAGATGTGGTCATAGGTTGAGGACTACCTGTACTTGGTTAAGATGCTAGATCAGGGGTAGGCAACCTTGGCTCTTTTATGACTTGTGGACTTCAACTCCCAGAATTCCTGAGCCAACCATGCTGGCTCAGGAATTCTGGGAGTTGAAATCCACGAGTCATAAAAGAGCCAAGGTTCCCTACCCCTGTGCTAGACTAATTGATTGGAGGATTTTGGACCAGTCACTTTTTCACTCAGCCCAAACTATTAATCAAGAGCCGTGGTGGCACAGTGGTTAGAATGCAGTATTGCAGGCTAATTCTGCCAACTGCCAGTAGTTCAGTTCTGACTGACTCAGGATTGACTCAGCCTTCCATCCTTCCAAGGTTGGTAAAATGAGGGGGGCAAAATGCTGACTCTGTAAACCACTCAGAGAGGGCTATAAAAACACTATGAAGGGGTATATAAGTCTAAGTGTTAGTTAATTAGTACTACTCAGCGTGATGGTTCAGGGGAGAAGAGAGCCCTTTGTGCATCTCATACAAAAGGCAAGTTATAAATGTAACCAATCACTAAACATGCTCTGTTTGGTTGCCTCCTAGCAATGCGCAGTACATCGTCAGTGGATCTGACGATGGTTCCTTCTTTATCTGGGAGAAAGAAACAACGAACCTGGTGCGAGTGCTCCAGGGCGACGAGTCGATTGTGAACTGCCTCCAGCCCCACCCGAGCTACTGCTTCCTGGCCACCAGTGGCATCGATCCGGTGGTACGGCTTTGGAATCCCAGGCCAGAAGTAAGGTCGGGGGCAGGGGTTCCACCTATCAGGCAGAAAGCTCTTCTCTTACAGCAGTGATTCTCAACCTTTTTAATGCCGCAACCCCCCCCAACCGGTCATAAGTCGAGGACTACTCAACCGGTCGTAAGTCGAGGACTATTCAACTGGTGCAGCACTGTTGGCAGAATGGGACTTTTGGCGGGCTCAGCAGGGCAGAGACAGCCTGGACAATTCCTATGGGCTTTTGAAAGCCAATAGAATTAGACTCTATTCAAGAGAGTCTATTCTATTGGCTTTCAAAAGCCAATAGAATAAAAGGGAGTAGCACAGCTAAGGAAAAGGGGAAAAAAATGGCAGACTGCGTTGTTTGGCGACCCCCGTGAAATGGTCGTTCGACCCCAAATGGGGTCCCGACCCACAGGTTGAGAACCACTGTCTTACAGGATTGGTGCTGTTCTGCAATGGAGAAAACCTGTAACTTCTGACCAAGTTGAGGACGCCTCCTCTATAAAGGAAAAGGCTTATGGCTAGCTATAATGGCAGAGCTCTGAAATGCCCCATTTTTCCCCCCCAAGAGATAGAATAAAACATTCAGAAATATTGTTAAATATTTATTTCTGTTTAATGATTTTACAGAGAATCAAGGTACGACCGTAATTGAGCCTGGAATTATGGTGAAGCCATTATTAACATAAGTTGAGGCCTTTACATCACCAGAAATAAATTTCTGGCTTTTTTCATGGTGGTTGTTAAACGAACACCAGGGTTATTAAGCAAACCCATTCATTTAAATGGTTCCCCCCACCCAGAAACCAGTAAAAAGTGGCAAAAAAACCCAGCAAAAGTGAGTCACGATCGCATGACTGTGGAATTCCACAACAGGTCAAAAACCTGATCTGCCCAAAAACTGCCCAACGTGTGATTACTTAACTGGGGGTGGGGGAGTGGGGGCAGTGTGACCATTTACAATGACTGTAAGTTCTTTATGGGCCTTAACGCACCCATTCCATGGCCATCAAATCTTCAAACGGTCATAAAATGAGCAGTCTTTAATCAAGGACTGCCTGTAATGACTGCTTCATAGAGTGGTTGCTGGTTGGCATTTGGGATTTTTCCCTGGGTTTGGTGGTTTGTTCCTGATACGCTTTTTGCCCTGGGTCCTAATTGGTAGAAAGATGGGCTATCATTGTGAAGGAGTTCTTAATGCAAGATTTGCTTGACTAGTCAGAAGTATCATGCTATAACTCAAAATATAGACCAAATCTTGCTAATCAGAATATATATGGCATTGTGGACAGGACTGGATATGTCTACAAAATATTCAACCCAGTGAAAAAATCTTATATTCATCTAGCACTGTAATGAACCATCTTTCAGGTATCGCACCTTTTTTTTTTTAACTTTAAGCAAAACAGTGACTTTTGTTCTTGTTATGGCAATTATGCTTTAATGTTGACTCCTTAGTGACATGGGGGCAGAGAGATGTTTTCCTCCTCAGGCTGAAAAATCATGAAGTCCCTTTCCATATATTGGCACAGAAATAACCTTTACAGCATCTTAAACTAAAAGCCACAATATGAGTGATTTCTAAATGATATTTCCGTACCTGACGATAACAGGCCTTGTGTGCTTAAATCCTGCCCATCCATCTGGTAGATGGAAGCATTATCTAACTGTATTATTAGGTTGACATGCCCTACTGACACAAGCAAGGGTTTAGTATGCTGTGTTCAATTAGCCACCGTTGGCTGCCTTAGCTTAATGTGCAAATCCATATACCACAAGAACGTAAAACTAGATTTACTAAATCGGGCCAATGGTCAAGCTAGTTCAACATTCCGATTTCTACAGTGGCCCACTAAATGTATTCTGAAACGTCAGATCCATGGCTAGATCATGGCTATCTCTGATCCTCTAAATATTTACCCAGTCTCTTTTTTAAACTGCCAAATAAGTGGCCATCACCACCTCCGATGGCAACAAACTCCTCAGTATGTCCACATATTGAGTAAATAAATATTTCCTTTGGTTGCTCCTGAATTTCCTTATAATTTAATTCTAAACCATGACCATGCAATGCTGCACCACCAAGTCAAACAATCCGCTTTTTGTCTTGAAGGCTTCTCTTATTTGCTATCTGAATGGTGGGTAGAAAGGTTCCTTTTCAGTGGAACAATCAAGTAGTCAACTTGGCGGGGCCTTGCTCTTTCCGTTTTGTTTCGCAGAGCGAAGTACTGAACGGGCGAGTGGTAGAAGACATGGAAGGTGCTTCCCAAGCCAACCAGAGGCGGATGAATGCTGATCCCTTGGAGGTGATGTTGATGAACATGGGCTACCGGATCACAGGAATGACTGGTGGTGGGTCAGGAGGCTCGGATGACGAAGACAGCTCTGAGAATCAGGTCCACTGCCGGACCAGCTAAAGCTGAATGGCCTCTCCTTCCTTATTTTTTTGTTTTGTTTTGTTTTGTTTGAAGGGAAATCTAGTTTGCTCCGTTTGAACTTGGAACGACTGCACTGTTTCACACTATGCACAGAATGGGATATGCCAGCGAGGGCAGAAGTGACTGGGTTTGACTGCTGCTACAATTTCTTCCTTTCCCTGTTCTATTAAGCAGCCTGGTAATGTGGTCTGTTGAGTTTTGCCCTCCCAGCAGAAGCTGTGATTCCTTTTCCACCTTGTCTGTGAGCAGTGTACAACTGGTAACCTGTCCCTTCCTCCAGTGTGGCTGGATGGTGGGAAGCATTACCTACATGAGTGTGTTTTGCAGAGAGGTGGTTGAAAACTCAATAAAATGTAAACTAGGGCAGGGATTATGGAATGATGTTCAATGCTGCGATCTCTGTCCGAAACTCAGCTTGCCTGCCACGCTATGAGTTTGAAATTCAGCCTCCACCCAACAGCTGGTGAATATGTACACGCATCAAAAACACGGCCATGAGAAGGTCGCTAAATACACGGGCTCCCTCAGTGAACATGCGTGGGGAAGTAGAGAAAGCTGGTATTGGGCAGAGCGCCTCACTGTGGTTGGTACCCCACACTTTCCATCTGTCTGCACACAGAAGAAACCAAGAGAAGACTGTAACAGTGGGAAGCTACAGCATGAAGCTTGGCAGCTTATATAACGAGCAAGTAAAATTATCTGATGTGGCAGCTTTTGGAAAACTAAGTTCCCATCTCTCGGTAAGGAGTGGGGTCTTTGCTGAAAAATCTCCTTGCCGGTGGAGACCAAGCTTCAAGAAAGTTATACAGTACCAATATGATAATGGACTGGTTAAAGATTTGGGATAAAGCTGCCTCTTTCCTTATTGCTGCTGTGACCTCCACTGCGCAGTTCTTTTTATTCCTTTCTTTGTGATTAAATCCTAAAGAATCTATAGGAACTTCCTTTCTCATCTATTTACTGATTCTTTTCATGTTGTAGCTTTCTTTCCTTGAGTGAATGTGGAAAAGATACATAACAAAGATGTATGTCCTTACAAAATCTTTTAGGAAGGAATTGTATGTCAGCTGGAGCCCTTAGCATTTTATGTCATTAAGGATTTTTCTAGAACAGAATGGCATCAGTACCGCTGTCCACACAACCTGGGATGCAGTGGTAATGGGCAAGTGAGTTCATTCCTGCCTTCTGTGGCTTACTCAGTTGGAACTGAAAGCAAATCAGGTTAGTATTGTGCTCACATTCCTGGATTCGTAACTGACTCAAAAAAAAATCGCAGTGGATTTTCTCATCAACTAGTTTGGTCAACAAACCATAGTTACCACAATGTGTATGTTAGAAATCTGATTGTCTCTAAAGTCACCATCCCCATCAGTATCTCCTTAACAAACTATGATGTCAACGTGTGCCTCTTGTGCAAATGATATGATTATTACATCAGGATGTCTGGTGCAATTATGTAAGTCACATTATTCGTACAACCATCCCATAACTGCCCATAGTTCCCACGAAACATCTTTCCTTGGTTTCTGCCTGCCTGCTCATTCTGGCCAAAGAATACCCTGCTGCATACATTTAGCAGTAGTCTTTCTAACCCAAGCAAGTCACTGTAGACCAGATTTTTTTTTTCAAAATGGCAACTTTAAGATGTATTCATTTCAACTTCTAGAATTCCCTAGCAATTCTGGGAGTTGAAGTCGATGCATCGTAAAGTTGACCAGTTTGAACATTTCTGCCCTAGACTATCTCTTCCCATTACAGTGTTTTCTGTGTCCTCTATTCCTATTTGGTTACTCCCAATTCTTTTGTTAATCTGAAAGAGGAGGGCTCCATTCACATCTTAGGAAACCTGAGGGCTTTTTTTTTTTCTTTTTCCAAATATCTGCCAGTGCCAACCCCAGGAATTACTTTGTATTGGCAAAGCACTTTCTTTAGCCTACAAGGTGAAGGGATAAGAAAGCTGTGGTTTCCAGTTGTTGATATAATTCTCACAATCCCCCACAATAGCCATGCTGGCTTAATCTCTGCTGGGAACTGGAATTCAACCATAATTAGAGGGCTACAGATACCTTCTCCCTGACCCTTGTAGAGAATAAGATACTAGGTTGGGTTGATCTTTTTCTGACGTAGAACAATGCTGGGGTTGAAAGTTATAACACCAACTGCCATTGTGCATGGAACAAACTATTGTGCTACTTTCCTATTCAGTAATTTTTAGATATATGAAATATTCCAAGAAGCAAGAAGAATGAATTTTGTGTGTAACTGGGTACTTCGGAACTAAATTATTTTTCTATATTTTGAAGACAAGTGTTTTATGTACAGGTTGTAGAGAGAAGTACCAGAGTACACAAGCCCCCACTTACACCTCCTTTGCATGAATAAGTCTTGATAGCCTGAAATTCCTCTCTGTCAAATGCTTCCTCTTGATCTGGATTATGTTCACGTTAAAAAATTTGTAAATCTGCCATCAGGGCCCTACTGTAGCCATATTCACAAAGTAGCTACCATGGTAAAAGTGTTAGTTCACAGAACAGCGACCAGGACAAGCATAGTCACAAACAGTTGAGACATTTACAGAAATACAGTGGCTTATTGCAAAACATTCACCTCTTCATTCTGTTTCCACAATGCCTGTAGGCGCCCCGCAGTTTTTACTACAAGACTTTTTTAGGTTCCCAGGACATTGCTGCAAATAAAAAGGATGCTAAAGACCGGTATTTTGCTTTGCAGCCTGCTTGCTTTCTTTTATTATTTTTAATTAAAAGAAACTTTAATTAGATGGAGGGTTACATCACACATTGTCTACTTTGTTCTAATGAAAAGAAGCAACATTTGCTTTACTGTGCAGCTTCTGATATTAAAGCACCAAGTTCTGTTTATTTTAATTGGTCACTCCTTGGCAGAAAGAGTGGGCTAAAAACAGTTCCATCTATTAGAATGCTTCATTCATTCTATTTGGGGGGTGGGGGGTGGGGGGGGAAGGATCATTATATGGGACTGAGAAGAAAATTCTGAAAGAGGAACGGATATGGTTAGATTTGGGCATGTGTCCCATTACTGGATACGGAGAGAACTACTTTTTCCTTTTGGCCAATTACTACTTTTTTAAAAAGCCAGAAAAGCTATTTTTATAATTAGTAGTGAAATTGCTCTAGTGTATAATAGTTATAAAGAAAAAAAAAGTCTTAATTTGGGTTGCTGGTGAAGTGGCTGCTTTATATAACTTTTCAGGCGTTCCAAATAAGATGTTCTTCCTGAAACACTGTCTTTGCACCAGCCTTAGTTTTTTGTTGTTGTGTTGTTGTTATTCAGAATGGCGTGTTTCTGCTTTTCTGGTTCCTGGAAGAGAAAGGATTAAGCAATTAAACAAAACTTTGTTCTAGTTTGGTGTCTTTCTGTTTTTGAGACAGTTTGGACCTTGTGCTTATCTACTGTGCCTTTTATAAAGAGCTCATCGGTGGTTTGATATATATATGTTAGCTAATGTCCAATCTTCCAGTTTGGCAAAAATAAACCTTAAAGTTTATTTTTTATTTGTTCCCCATTTCTAGTTGTCCATTTAAAAGCTGCATCTGTGCTATATAAAAATAGAGAATTCAATTGTTGATTGAATTATTTGCCCAAGAAGAGTTTATGCCAGTCAACACTGCTTAATGTTTTAGAAAGTACAGTTTCCTACTTATGAAAGCTAAGTCTTCCTTTTATTGGCTTTTTAAAAGTTTCTAAATGTATCATTTAGAAATAAATAATTGACTATTGGTCCTCTCTAGTTGAGATGTGTGAATTTGAATGTGATTGTACATTAAAAGCATAGTGTAAGTTAGCTCTTGTACTTTACAATACTTTTTAAGAAAAAAATACCTTCATTTTCTATTGATTAGATTATCAGGAATAACAAAACATGATTCAAAGGGGCTAAAAGTTATACAGTATCAAGCTGGTTATTGTGTACAGCTTGCTTGCTTGTGTCTGTTACTTCCTACAGTACTCTGAAGCAGGTTCCAGGCTATATTTAAAGGTCTATAAGTTTATAGAACACTACTTCCTACAGCCTGATTTTATGTTTACACACGCATGTACGCAGTATTTACACATAAATCTATAAATAGTGTTATGGAAGGTGATTGTCTTTTCTTCATGTGTACTTGAGTTCTCAGTAGAGTAAACAAACTAGATTTTGATAGTGAATACTGTTGTTCTCAGCAGCTGTATTTAAAAATGCCCAAATAACTTTGTTGTGAAGTAGGAGTAATAACAATGAGATATCACTAGAATAATATTGGCCGTAATAAAGATTTGATTGATACTAGAATGCACTCTTAGTCATATTGATGAATATACTATTAGAACCAGTAGTATGGTGAGATAGTGCTGGATTATACTATCTGTTGGCAGAATAACATCTGTGGGCATTGTACACATAGACAACTGATTAGGGTTTTTAAAAAACATCTCTTTAATGGTTTGTGTCACTCATGCAGGCGTGTTCTGGCTTATAATTGCTGTTATTTAGGATGGAAACAGTTGCTGTATCTTCACAGCTATAACAAAACAGGATTGCAACCCAATGATAGAATATAGGCACCACATGCAGAATATCCTAGTTTCAGTTGCTTTTATTTAAAAGGAATAAATATAAATGGTGAAAAAGATCTCTGCTTTAGCCTTGGAAAGATAATATCAGTCAAGAACAGATAGGTGTGATTTACATAGCTGGATAGTTTGATCCGATGTAAAACAGACCCTGCCTGTGTTTTGCAGCTGCATTAAACAAAGATTTCTGGACATAAACTATGAATGTTTATACATGCATGGATGAATGATTCCCAAGGCATGTTCTTGATTACAAAGTTTTTTTTAAAAAAAAGTCTTACAGGTAGTCTTTGACTTATGACCACAACTGAGCCCAAAATTTCTGTTGCTAGGTGAGTTGTTAAATGAGTTTTGCCACAGTGCAATTGTTAAATTAGTAACACAGTTGTTAAGTGAATCTGACTTTGCTTGTCAGAAGATCACAAAAGGAGATCATATGACACCAGGACACTGCAACCATCATAAATATGAGCTAGTTGCCAAGCATATGAATTTTGACCACATGACCATGGGGATGCTATAATGGTTGTAAGTGTGAAAAATAGTCATAAGTCACTTTTTCAGTGCAGTTGTAATTTCAAATGGTCACTAAATGAATGATTGTAAGTTAAGGACTGCCTTCATCTTGTTCTATAATGTTCTATTTATAGAACACCTTACTACAGCCTCTATCTTGATCTATAATCTTAGAGAGGTTGCTAAATGTTAATATCTTCATAAACCTGATAGGAAGACATTGACATTTAATAGTTCACATGAGGAAAATGCAAACTTAGTCAATTCAGTTCTCCCAGTAGTGGATTATGAGTGCATAGATACTAAGAACATAAATTTGAATCTGTATTTGATGGGGTGGGGGGAAGAGAATGGGAGATTTTTAGAAGAAGTAGGGAAAAGCAAAATGAGGCTAAGACATTCACCAAACAAATTGCCCTTGTTTGGCAAGCTGTAGATTAGAGTGCAAAGCTATTACTTGTTGCATAAACCATGGATCCTATTGCACTAAGCCACAAGCCGTGTGTCTAAAATCACAGTGACTAAATTCATTTAATCCAAAACTAACTCAAAAGGAAACAAGCCACATTATGCCTTGCCACAGAGTGTGAGCCCAGCTGCTTCATATGTTGCAATGTGTTTTATGCACTTCTGCTGCTGCTGCAGTTTTAAGAGAGAAAAAAAAAAACCAAATTTGGAAAAAAATACTTGTATGTCCCGAGCAAAAGTAGACAGCAGCAGTAGCAGTGATGCCTGATAGATTCCTGTTTCTCTTGCTAAGAGGATAATTTGTATATATCTTTTTAAAATTCTCCTTTAATCACCATGGTTAGCAGCATTTTACTGTGTGTGTATGTGTGTGTGCTTCATATTTTCATTTTTGTTCATTATGATTCATCACAATGCTATTTTAAATTCTCCTCTAAGATGCTCTGCTTTTTGTTGAGTGCTGTCAATTTCCCCTGTGTTCTATCTCATTTTGCCCCAAACGTAAATAATACTGGAAATTGTTTGTGACTTGCCAGTGTTTTACTGGAGTGCATGTGATTAAGATGGTGCAGCTCAGTACCGGTTTAATCCTCTCAGATGCAAGGGGTCAGAATTGTAATAACCAGGATACATATTTGGTTGGTTCTGACAACCTGCTGATTGAAAGATTAGCAGATTGAGGATTATTTACTTGTTCAGCGTGATATCCAGCTCACAGAGCAGTCCCTCCTTCAGTATTATTCATAAACAGAACTCCAGTAATGAGATTAATATATGTGTGACTAGAGCATCGGATTTTGAGAATCAAAATGTAAGAAAGCCTGTATAAATCCTGACACTGGATAATCCCAAACTTGGATGCTCTAAAAAGAAATGGCAAATTTATGGAGAAAGTTATATGGTACACGTGATGATGGTTAACAATATATAAATTTTAAGATCTTTCACTTTCAATATATAAATTTTAAGATCATTCATTTCTGATGCTGTGTACTGATTTCCCAAACAGAGTAATATTCCACACAAAAATAATCATTTAGAAAAAAGAATACCTGCCATCTAAAAAATCTGCTTCTGCATCTATTCAGTCTACTGCTAAGAGACCGATCAGGTCTTTATGCATCAAACCAGCATTGCTGACTTTTGAGCCAAGCCAAACTTAATAAAGTATTTAATAATACTGAAAGTTTTCCATTTTATTTCAGAAATAAAGGGATTTTTTTCCCAACCACTATTGACAAAATCAGATTCTCAGAAGACAAAGCAAAATATATTTAGTCTCCACCTTCTATTTTTCTAAAATTCTTCTCTATTGTATATGGACAATTTCTCCTGTTTGCTTCCGTCCGTTTCCCCATCAATGTTATCTGTTAACATCCATTCACATTTAACACATTTCTCTAATTTTTTCATATGAATCTACATGCTCCACTAAGACATATTATCACCAGGAGGTCTACAGGGATGGAGTCAAGAAAGTCAAGACGGTGGCCACAACCAAGGGATCAAAACCATGTAAAGGCACGGGGAAAAAAAAAAAGCAGGACTTTGGAGTCAATAGTTATTATTTGTTAAATTTATTTGCCACTTATCTCACTGTGAGGCTACTGTAGGTGGCTTACAATAATAAAAGGAAGAAAAATGAAGAATGTAAACCGAAGTAAAATAATAGAACAATAAAATAAGCAGTCACAAAGGATCACGAGAAAACTACATCAATATGATAACCAAAAAGGTGGACAGGTAGAAAGCAGAGAGCAAAGGGGGAAGTGGACTCCGCCATCAATCTAGCAGCCACATCTAGTGTAGAACTGGCCAAGTCTTCAAGTTCTTGGCCATCACCTTGACTTTTCTGACCCCCTTCCATAGACCAGGGGTATCAAACTGCTGGCCCGCAGGCCGGATGCATCATAGCTCATCCCATTGCCAGCAATGGGGAAAAAGTTGCGATATGTTGTGACACGTCACATGACATGAGTTCGACACCCCTGCCGTAGACTTCTGAGCCCCCACCTTCCCTTGAGTTCATTGACTTAGCCTTGCTGCCTCCATTCCCTAATAACTGCCATTAGGCTGGGTTGAGGGAAAAGGGGCCAGTGAATTTTCACTATTGAAGGCGAACCTGGCCCTTAATGAAGTTGCACTGACTGTACACCTTGGCCTCTTTCCCCAACCAATGCATCCCTGGAATTTGGTGACACGGGGGTTCTCACTTAGAGAGAAAAGACCTCTTACAAGCAGCCCAGGGTCCCTTCAACCCACCCTTCCCTTTACACCACTGTTTCTCAACTTTAGGAACTTTTAAGCTGGATGGACTTCAATGCCCCGAATTCCCCAGCCAGTTGGCTGGGGAATTCTGTGCATTGAAGTCCATCCAGCTTAAAAGTTCCTAAAGTTGAGAAACACTGTCTTATGCAATGCCACTAAGAGCTAGGTGTCTATGGAGATTTTCAGTCATCCAGGTCATGGTTATCCCAAAGGTGCTTTTTCAAAAGGCAGCAGGACTTTGTGTTTTTTTGTTTGTTTGTTTGTTTTTTGTTTTGCTTGAAGACGTTTCGCTTCTCATCCCAGAAGCTTCTTCAGTTCAGAACTTCAGAGCAGAACTGAAGCAGCTTCTGGGAGGCGAGGCAAAACGTCTTCAAGCAAGCAACAAAGCCAGCCGCCTTTTGAAGAAGCCCCTTTAGGACTGAAGAGTTAGGCCCCGCCTCCCGCCATCCCCAACACCTCGCTCAAAGGCCGCGCTGGCCCCGCCCCGCCGGTGTCCGGAAGCGGGGTGTCCGTCTCCAGGAAGTGATGTCACTCTGGGCCAACTCCTTTCCCCCCCCTCCCGGTGATGGAGGAAGAGGAGGCTGCGGAGGGGAAGATGAAGCAGTTCCACGGCGCTGTTGCGGTGGGGGTCGGCGGGTCCCTTGTGGCGGCGCTGGATCCGGAACGTGGCCGCTTCCCATACTGCGTCGTGTGGACGCCTATCCCTGTTCTCACGTGAGCGACGGTCTCCTACTTGAGTCGGGTTGGGGGGGGTCGCAGAGGTGAAGAGGGGAGCCTTTCCCTCCTGGTGTTGGGGACGATGGGTTGGGGAGTCGGCAGTTCTTGCAGCTTTTGCTGGAGACCTTGGCGCGATCTTTCAATCGCGCTCACGCAACCGGATTGGTAAACAGGGTTGTGGGATGGAGTTTGGTGAATCTCACACGCTTCTCTAATGATGATTGTTGTTTGGTTGTGCAAGTCCATGTTCTTCGGGTAGTTGGTGGTTCCGTTGGAGCATGAGCATTTCTATCGACTCAGGTACTTGGACTTTAGCATGGCAGTGGCGAGCTCCAACACACACACACACACACACACACACACACACACACACACACTACATACACACAGCCCCTTAAAGTAGGGGTCTTCAAACTTGTGGACTTCAATTCCCAGAATTCCTCAGCCAGGCATGCTGACTGAGGAATTCTGGGAGTTGAAGTCCACAAGTCATAAAAGGGCCAAGTTTGAAGACCCCTGCTTTAAGGGCTCCCTCTCTCAGAGCCACAATTTTGATCAAAATTAAACTTTGCGTTGCTGTTGCTGCATAAATGAGATCTGAATGTTAGTCTCTGACATTGCATCTAAAGTGGCAGGATTTGGGGGGGCGCATCTATTAGCATTCTAGGGATATTCCTATGTATGGTTTTTTTATATCTATACAAAAGATATGTATATGTGGGAACGGGATTTGCAAAGGAATTGAGATACAGTTTTGCAAATGGAAAGACACATTCTTGGCTAAGAGGAAACATATTTAACTTCTTTTGATCTTTTGTCTGTTTTAGGTTCTAACTAGCATGACCATGTACGGCCAGTTCTACAGCTTCCTGAATACAGCTTTTTTTCAGTGTGAGAAAAGAAACAACACTCTTTTCTTGTTTCTACAGATGGCTTTTCCCGATCATTGGTCACATGGGCATTTGCACTTCTGCAGGAGTCATCCGAGATTTTGCAGGGCCTTACTATGTCTCTGTAAGTAGAAGTTTGTTCCTCTACATCAGGGGTCTCCAACCTTGGCAACTTTTAAGAGTTGTGGACTTTAATTCCCAGAATTCCCTAGCTGGGATCCTGGCTTGGGAATTCTAGAAGTTGAAGTTCACAGATCTCCAAGCTGCCAAGGTTGAGAAACACTGTTCTAGATGATAAATAACAAAGATAACAAAATTCAACCATTTTCAGCTTAGTACATCTAGATGTATGGGAGTACAATTCTTCAACATTCTCATCTTCTCTGGGTGGAGGACACCCAGAGAAGGTTAAAAAAGATAATTGTGTCTTGTTTGTCAACCTGAAGAAGGCAAATTGGACTTGGAAATTTTGTTTGAGTTTTGACACTGCATATTGTATAAGCTTAACTCTTGCAGTTGATAAACTGTGGTTTATGACTCCAGCAAGAATAGTTTATTCAGTAAACCATGATTAAACAGTAGTTTAGTGTGATATACATGGTCAGTGTAAATTCAATACAACAGTTAGTTTTGGAGGACATAAGCAGAATAAATCATGTTATCACAAGTATAGCTGATTTGGTAACTGAATGTGTTTTTCCTTTTTTTGTTCCCTATCCTCTTTAGGAAGACAACATGGCTTTTGGGAAGCCTGTGAAGTAAGTGTTATTTCCCCCTCTACATTTTAATTTGCAGAAGTATTTTTGTGGCTGAAACAGAACAATAGATGCCATATTTCAGTTAAGACAAAAATAAATAGATTACAGTTGACTGATGGAACTTGCACCAGTAAAGCAGCATTACACTAAATCTCTTTGTATTTACAATCATCTGAGCTTCTGATCTAATCAAGCTTTCTACTAATTAACAGTAGAAGTTTGATCTGAAGTTAATTCATGATCTCAAGTGTCTCTTCTATCTATCCAAATATTGGTTCTTCTCTTAATATTAGCCGTGCCTGCGTGTATCCGACACCTCTTTTGTGGGGGACCAAAACTGGTACAAAAGAAGAGAAAATGAACAGTAGCATCTTGTGCATCTCTAATTAGAAATAAATAATCTTGAATTCGCTCATGCTTCTAGGAAACTTATTCTCTATTAGATTAAAAAAAATTCTTTAAGGGGCTGCCATACTAACCAGGCTCTGTTTTTTAAGTTGGTAAAAGCAGTTGAAGGATACTCTTTGAGATAACCAATATAAATAGTTTGTTCTGCTGCTTTATACAGCTATTTCATGCTTAGTTTATTCAGTACATGCCTGACATCCTCCTAAATGATAATTTACTAGTTTAATTTTTATCAGTTGCTGTCTTAAGAAGTGTGAATCTTTATGTTGTAGTGCTTTATTTTCATTCTCAGTCTCTTTGGGTATTACTGAAGAGGGGGAAAGCAATGTATGATACAGCAAAGAAATGCTATAACAAACAAAGAATGCATATATTGTACTGGGTAGAGCTACAGACATGTTAAGGAGCAAAAATATTTCCAACAATTTACAAAACTGGAAGACTTTGTCAGGATGGGGGGGGGTGAATATAGGGCAAGATGAGTGATAATGTAAAATTATAGGACAAAAAGGAGCAAGGGATGAGCTGCTAAGCGAGACAGTCAAGTGAATTTTGTCCCATTTTATGACCTTTCTTGCCATAGTTGTTAATTGAATCACTGCAGTTGTTAAATTAGTAACCCAGTTGAGAAGTGAATCTGGCTTCCCCATTGACTTTACTTGCCAGGTCATCAAAGGTGACTCGGGCACTGCAACTGTCATAACCAGTGTCCGAAGTTTGATCACATGACCATGGGGATGCTACAACACATGACTGTAACTATGAAAACCACTCATATGTCCCTTTTTTTCAGTGCCGTTGTAAATTCGAATGGTTGTAAATTGAGGACTATCTGTGTTCGGAATTGAGTTATTTGAATACTTTAGTAACTTTTTAGAAAGTGAGGTGTTCCATTTGATGAAAGCCGGGAAATAATTTTGATTTACTCTTCCCCCCCCCCTTCTGTCAGATACTGGAAACTGGATCCCAGCAAAGTCTATTCCTGTGGTCCCAATGCTTGGGATACAGCGGTACATGATGCCTCTGAAGAATATAAGCACCGAATGGTGAGTAAGGTTCAGTTTTCAGTTTAAGTTTGAGGATGCCTATCTCAGTACTGATTATGTCTAGAGAAGATATTTGAAATATCTTCAATTGTACCTCTTTTTCTCTTTTATAGCATAACCTCTGTTGTGACAATTGCCATTCTCATGTAGCTCTAGCCTTAAATCTCATGCGATACGACAACAGTACTTCATGGAATATGATCAAACTTTGTTTTTTCTCTTTGCTGTATGGAAAGTATGTAAGGTGAGTAGAAAACTCCATTGCTTTTATGTCTTTGAGTAAGAGAGAAAGAGCATTTTCATCAAGGGCTTGGTTCTCCTTAAATGTCTCATGTATGTAATATGCAGATAATTTTATGTCCCTTGTACCTAGATGCTTTCGATCCATTGATTCTTGTGGTGCAGAGCTTTTTTCCCATTGTAAATTAATTGTACAATCCCAAATTTCCAAGTCCTTGTTAGCAGACAGTCTAGTAGAACTTCTGCATATTTTTTTTTAAAAGCCTCTAATGCTTTCCTAGTTGCATAATTTATTCTGCTTTTATGGTAATATGGAAAGGCAGAAGGTTATACAGAACCAACTGCAAATGACACCTTTTGTCTTCTGACACTGCTTACATTGTTATGTCAATAACCTCAAAGGCTAGTAACTTCACTGCTTTTTAAGAGCTGAAATCTTCAGGTTGTTGAAAGCTGTTTCAGTGTCTGGTCTAAGGAAGAAATAAGTCTCTTTTCACAAAATAGCATATCTCAACCCATTGACTTGTAGGCCATTCAGTAATGGTAACTGTTATGTTATATTAATATTTAGATTGTTTATGTATAAATATTATTACATAGCTTTACATTGTGCTACTAAACATTGTGTAAAAGAATATTCCTGTCAAAAGTGCAGTGATGACAACCTTCAGGCTTGGAAGACAGTAATAATTGTTTTAATAAAATTCTGAACTCCTCTAGCTAGAACCTAATGGAAAAAAACAAAATAGTATAATGGGAATTTATATCAAATATCAGAATGTAACAGATTGCATACTTATTTCTTCCAAAAGTCCATTTGTGGTTTGCTGAAGCATTCATAATCTTATCAGTGAAATTGAGAGATGGCAGGATATCGTTTGATTGTAAAATAACGGAGTCAGAAAACCTTGGAAATCTACTGTACATCACCCAGATTGTGCATCTATGTGCTTACAGCACTTAATATACAATGTACTTTATACTATCTGTATGCCAGTCAAAATAGACAAATGAAGGATGAATTGTTATTACTTTTGAACCATGAGTGTGAATTGGTGCTTCCAAAGAGTTTGTAAATGAAACTTGGCAGAGATGGAAAAGTAGGTGGAAATAGGGTTCGACCAGAAATATTCAATTAGCAAGTACTTAGACTTGGTTGCAGAGAAAGATAAAGGCCTATTACAGGGGTGTCCAACCTTGGCAACTTTAAGACTTGTAGACTTCAACTACCAGAATTCCTCGGCCAGCATGACTGGCTGGAGAACTCTAGGAGCTGAAATCCACAGGTCTTAAAATTGCCAAGGTTGGATATCCCTGGCCTATTATGTCCCTTTCCTTGGCTCTGTTCTGCATATTCTTCTCTTTCTATCCCTGGTCCTCAGTGGCTGCACTTCAGTGGTTTATGCCCCCCCCCCCATTTTTAGTTTCTGAAATCTCTCTTCTCTCTTTTACAGCATAGGAGGCTTTGTGAAGACTTGGCTTCCCTTCTTCCTCTTTTTGGGGATTATCCTGATAGTCATCTTGACTCTTCACATCCGGTGATGGATGACATTGGTGTATCCACCCACCCACCCACCCATCCTCCCTTTGTTCTCCTTTGAAGTCAAGTGATGGAACCCGTGGCTTTTCAGCCTAGGAAGGCATGGAGCTGCATGGTCTGGAAGCCCTCAGAAAAAGAACTCCATTTGTATTTTGTAATAACAACTCTGCTGTTATCCCCTGGGATTCTTTGTTTGGATGAGGATGGTTTCTTTGAACATACATGACTTGGAACTTTTTGGGATTGGGAAAGGAGGGAGAATCTTGCATTGTACTTCTCACCAAAACTCCTTTGTGCCCAAAGGTTCCCCCATGGAAATCCCAAATAGGACTTTGGTTGATAGGACAATGAGGGAGGGTTTCGTTAACCTTGGGTGAGGTGTCTAAGGAGGTGATAACTTTCTCTGATCTCCCCGAGCGGTGATTAATGGGCACTAAATGGACAGTGGCTATCTGTGGTCACCACCCTGGGATGGGGTAATATTTGTTGCACTGAATGATGAGATTTCCAGTGATTATAGTTCTAGCACTTTTTTTTCCAGATGGTGGCCTCAAAATGGAAGAATGATCCTCTTGATCTATGCAGGGCTTTATGTGAGACGAGATTTTCTTCTGGTGCAGACAGGAGTTTAAGGACGATGTTGTTTTCCTCTTACCCGCTGCACAGAAAGTCTGTCTCTTTGTTTGTATGTGTTTTAAGTCTAGTCTCATAGGAACCAGCACTCGAAAGGCAGTTGATCTCAATTGATCTTTGTTACGTTCTTGTCAGCTTAAACTGCCCCTGTCTCAGACCTGCTGAAGAATGTAAGCTGCTCTCTTTGACGAGCTGTTCTTAAGACTTCCTAGTTTCTTTTATAGAATTGAATTTCCAAAGCCCTTGCTCTACCTGGGTTCTTCATACATTATATTGTGCCTTGGAAGTCACTGGAAACATAACCCATGGCCATTAAATGCTTCATCTTTTATAATGAGGGTTGGATATTAGAAGCCATACTGGCGTCATGTCTGCTTTTAGGAAACATGAATCATTCCTTTAGGGCTCAGCTTTTCCTTGCTGTAGCCAGGTATCTAAAGGGCAAGAGCTGGTCAGATGATGATTTTTAACTTAATTCAGGCTTGCGGCCTTGCCTATTGTGTGAAAAAAGGGGCACCCTTTTCTTTTTAACCGAAAGCGACATAAAAAAACCCGCTGGACTCTCCTTTCATTTCTACCCTTGTTGTTCTCTTGCTAGCCTTCCTCCTTTTGTTCCTCCTGCAGTGCCAAAGATGCGTGCTGTGTAAAAAAAAGAGGCACCTGTGGCTTAGCAGGTCTTGGGGGTCTTCGTTGTATTCAGCCATTTCAAGCATGAATGATGGCAGCTGTAGAAAACTGATCAATAAGCTCTAGGCTGATTAGAGATCAAAGGTCTTACATCAAAGTGACACCGTGTGGTGTTCCATCAAGCTATTCCTGGGCTATTTCGCTTACGTCCCAGTAGGGATTCTAGTTCTTAGGGAAATAATAGACTGAATTAATAATGCGCACATTACTCATTTTTTTTTCCTTTTTATTTTTCCCCCCTTCTCATAGTGACTTGCCAAAAAAAAAAAAAAAAAATTCCGGGAAGCCCAAACTTTTCCCAGAGTTGGAACTTAAAGCCAACTGTCTTTCGGTCATAGCACTGATCTAAGCTCATCTTTTCAATCAAATTAGAAAGTGCTTTTCTGACACAATATGATTGTTACAAGCATTACCAAAATGTGAAGTTTGCTGGAGGAGCCAAAAATATTAGGGTGGCTGCGATTGGTTTTTCCTCTTGTTCTCAACATCTCTTCCTCCCCTTCCAATATTTTTTACAGGATTTTTTTTAAATCTATATTTGTGAACTGGCCAATTAATAATCAATATAGAGGCTCAAAGGAGAAGATGAAGTGAGGGGAGAGACTTAAAGCCATCGAAGAGCTAAAGCTGCAGATTCTGCTTGTCTTGCTATTTTGCTCACTTGATAAGGAGAGATTTCCTAGTAGTACTAGTCAGTAGAACTGTGACTGGAAATAGCTTCTCTGTTATAAATTGTTACCACTTCTAAAATAAGTTCTTATGTTCTCTCTAACAACTGAGCCACATCCTTTATAGTAAAGCGGTTTAGGGGTGGTTTTACCCTACATTATATTTGCAACCCTGATTTATTGGAGTTCCAGAGATTGGGGGAAGCCAAAAATAAGTTTGCAGGACCTTGGAGAAATGCAGCTTAAGCAAGGCAAGTAGTGGCGTGCATGTGTTGTAGTCAGATTGCAGTTTCTAGCCTTTGCACAATCATCTCTCAAATATAGCCAAACCTACATTGTCCCACCTTGTTTAACAGCCGCATGATAACTATTCATCTTTCAAAATCTATGTTAATGATTTTAATAACTTTTAAAATCTTCCACGGGAAGCACTTCTGGGTTGGCGTTATGAAGCTGATGAAACTGCTTGGATGAGCAGTGAAACGTCTCAAACTAACAAAAAAAAACCTAGTCCAGTTGTCGGACCTCTTTGCTTGGATGACAAGAGTCTTCAACAACACATTTCTGGATAGGATTTTTGGGAGTTTAAATCTTGATTGGTGCCTGCCTGACCATGCTTGCAGACAGTGCCTAGGCCCTAGAAGAAGACAAAATATTATTATTTGTTTGAGTAGATGTCATGAGAAACCTGTATATCAAGAGTAAGCAATTTATTTTTCCAAGGGGCCACATGAGAAACTGACTGCTGTAGAGGGTGGAACCAATAGGACCAACACATTACTGCGAAGGTGCACAGGCACGAAGGCACATACTTAAATTGGGGGGGTCACTTTCAGAATAAAAGTGATGCAGTTGTATTGCAGTCATGGTCTACATTTACTTACATTTGATTTCTAATTTCCAACTGACCTCAAGTGAAGCCAGGCAGGGACAGCCAAAGAGCTGGATGTGGCTGTAAAATACCCAGTCGTAGTGATACGATCTGTGAACTCTGCATTGATTCTGCATTCATATCTGCCTTGAAGTGTCTTGGTTGTAGGAATTTGGTCACATCTAAAGTACTTTCCAAAGTATGTTTCCTTTACATCGTTTCATTGTTGTTACTGTCTTCCATTTGGTCTTTTGTTTAGATTTCTCTGTAAAACTCATCAATTTGCCCTGTTCTTTCTTTCCTTAGCTGGTGACTAGATGGTCTTCTGATCCAGTTGCTTGATTCCTTTGTAAATACTGAAGTTCTGTTGCTGTAATTTCATAATCCCAATGATGGTGAAAAATAAATGCAGTTGTGTACTCCGGCAAGCTGCAATGGCCGTTCTTTTTTTTTCCTCCAGGAAGAAGAGAAGTTTGTGTTCAGAATGAGTGACTCAAATATATTTTAAATTAGTTATTTGTAAGTGAGTAATTCGCCAGGCTAGAAATAGGAGACTGAGTTTTAGTCCTGTTTTACACATGAAAGTGAATTGGGTGACTTTGAGCTAGTCCAGAGGTAGGCAACCTTGGCTCTTTTATGATTCGTGGACTTCAACTCCCAGAATTCCTGAGCCAACATGGCTCAACTTGGAAACCTCTCCCTTTCCCCTCAGATGGCTGGCTCGGGAATTCTGGGAGATGAAGTCCACGAGTCAGAAAAGAGCCAAGGTTGCCTACCCCTGAGCTAGTCAGTCTCTCAGTTCAATCCACCTCACAGGGTTGTTATTGTGGGGAAAATAGGAGGCGAAAGGAATACAGTGTATGTTCACCACCTTGCATTATTTATAAAAATAAAGGCAAGATAAAAATACAAATAAATACATCTGAAATTGAAAGTCAGTGTATATAGCGGTTAAGATGTTACTGTAGATTCACACTGGGAAAGCCTGAGATTCACCCTCAGTTCTGTGGCTGACCTTAGGCTACTTTCTCAATTTAATTTATCTCACAATGTTGACGGAAAAATAGGAGGAAGAGGTACTATGTATTCTGCCTTAAGTCCTGAAGAAAAGGCAGAATAGAAGAACAAGTAAATCCATTGTGGAGAAGTATTTAAAGTGCCACTTTAGCTATTCTACCTCTCCTGAACTTGGAGAGTATGATAGAGAAATAGGGTCTGCTTACAATTTTTCTTCCCTCTCCAAAATGCAGACTTTCATCCTCTGGAGGATATGGTTGCACCAGAAATTTGCAGAAACCCAGACTACCTTTATATAGATAATCCTTGATTTACAACTGCAACTGAACCCCAAATTTATGTTCCTAAACAAGAAGTTAAGTGAACTTTGTCCCTTCCTTCCCACAGTTGTTAAGTGAATTATGGGAGATGTTAAGTGAGTAACATGGTTGTTAAGTGAATTTAGCTTCTCCATTGAGTTTGCCTGTCAGAGTAAAAGGGGATCACATCCTGGGGCACTGCAACTGTCATAAATATGAGTCAGTTGCCAAGTGTCTGAATTTTGATCACATGACCATGAGGATGCTGCAATGGTCTTAAATGTGAAAAATGTTCATAAGTCAACTTTTTCCAGTGCTGTTGTAACTTTGAATGGTCATTAAATGAACTGTTGTAAGTCAAGGACCATCTTTAAAGAAAATGTCCTAGGAAAAAGGAAAAACCCAGACCAATCTGGTTAGGGCTACATGCCTGATCATCAGACATAGAGTTTCTTACAGAGCAGAGGACAAAAACCAGAGTGAATTGGGCATGGAGATTGCTAAAATAGGAGATAGTTGGCTGGCATGCCAAAAGTTTGTTCTACACTGCACTATTTTGCTATAGGTCCCATTTATGTCTTTAAATTATGCCATTATTACACCTTCATTCCACTTATCTACTCCCTGTTACGATCAGCTATGCTTGGTAAAGTTTTTTTTACACTACTAACTGGTCCAAAGAAAGCTTTTTTCCTTCCATTTTGGCCATGTCCTCATCATGTCAACAACTCACCCGGGCTGTTAACAAGTCTGACAGCCCTGCATTGCAGTCAGTGTTCCCGTGTTGTCTAGAATCAGCAGACACCCACACTGATGGAAGAGAGTGGCCCCTTTCAGCAAAAGGACACTTGATGGCTTTTGTTCTGTTGACAAAGGGGAGTTGTATCCTGGCACACGTCTCATCCTTCTGTTGGCACTTCAAAGTTCATTTGGTGATAACCTGCGTGAATTAAGGCAACAGATGCTGCTGCTGGACCTGGGAGTCATCTCCAGGGGCAGCAGTGGAACTCCTCTCCCTATAAAAGGTTTTCCTTGAGACCGTCTACAACAGTGTTTCCCAAACTTGACAATTTTAAGGCATGTGGACTTCAACTCCCAGAATTCCACAGCCAGCGTTGCTGGCTGTGGAATTCTGGGAGTTGAAGTCCTCATGCCTTAAAATTGTCAAGTTTGGGAAACACTGGTCTACAACAAAAATACAAGGCTTGCAAGGTGCTCCTCTGGGTCACCTTAAGGACAGGGCATTTCTTGCTAGTTTGGGCATCACATTTTAAACATCCTGGTATATTAAGCAATCATGGTCAGATTCATATACCATATTTGAGCCTTAACGTTGCAGTTTGAAAATCATAATGGTTGGCTTCGTATACCTTGCCAAGTTATATCTGAAATATGATTTGAATAAATGGCCTGGGTGCTATTTTTTTTTCTATTTTGTAGATCTTGGACATAAAGAGATAAGGACCACCTCCAGTTTGCTTAAACTTTGCATATCTCCTGGATTAACCAGTATAGGATGGGTCTCTGGTTAAGGGGATCCTGCCTGCTGGAACCGTACTGAAAAGGCTTTCCCTTTCTCAAGTATCTTACATTAAGCTATTTGTAAATATTCCATCCTAGAGTAAATTGATTGAGAAGGTGGTGGCCTCACAACTTTTGATACAATTATTTGGGACCATTTCAATCAGAGGTTCATCTGGAATAAGGGTCTAATAGTGAGGAGTCCATGGTGCTCTCTGATACTATTTTATTGCGGCTGTTTTATTACCCAAACTAGGTAACATCATCGCAGCACACAATCAAGCTCACAAAGCACCAAGGACCCTTCATTGCAACCCTGAGCTGCAAATATTCTCCTTTATTGGTTCTAATAGGGTTTTTGTTACCTTGGTAGATAATTTGCAGCAAAATTATGTTGGGACCCCAATAATTCTCTCTTGCTGCTTTAGGTACCATGACTGTGGTGTTCAATAATGTCTGTTGGATATGGGAGTGCTGTTTTGCAATGGTCTAGCCCGCGGGCTGGTAGTTTGACATGCCTAATTTAAGTCATTGAATTGGTATCTCTTAGCTGTTGTTATGCTATTCATAACAGTTTTAGCTGTGTAAAACTGCTGGTGGGCAGTCATTCAGAGCTTTGGAATGGTGTACCCCCAGTATGCAGAGGCCACCTCTCTCCCTCTTGAATCAGCATTTTGAATCTTGCCTGGTTCTGATGCTGGAATGGATGAGGGAGAAGAAGCTGAAGCCAAGCAAGATGGAGGGGATGCTGGTAAAGCGAAAGCTCGAAGCAAAGTCTGCTTCGAACGGGGATTTACTTTCCAAAAAATGATCAGGTTTGGAAGTGTTTTTGGCACCCACTCTCCTTTGCAAGTAAAATCTAGCTCTCCGTTCTGAATGTGTGTTCCTCTTGAAAGAACTTTTGAAAATCACGAATGTAGCTACGAGGACTCTCCCTTCCTCTCTGCAGAGGCAGGATAGGAAAGAGGATTGTACCTGTATTTAGTTTGGGAGGGGAGAAGATTACAGAGATTAGTTACTAGGGGAGCAGCTGAGACTTCAATTTTCTGCTGTTGATTCTCTTGAACTCCTCAACTGATCCACACCAGGGCCCCATCGGAGGAGCTGACTTAGTGAGAATGTACCCTAATTAAAAGCAGGTTGCTATTAGTTGGCTGGCAGCTCTAGCCCCGAGCCCCTGCCGCTTCCATTTATTAAATTCCTCTCAGGCTTTGTCTCATTGGACCCACAACCACTTTCTCCCCCTCTGAGACTGGTGTCTGTTGCCACCACTCCTGCCTCTGCTGTCACAACCTTGATTGATGATGAAGTCTGGGCTGTGTTCATGCTGACATGGGGGTCATTGGACAATTACTGCTTGCTTTTGATCTCAGCTGAAAAAAGTCAAAAAGTGAGAAGCCCACAGTCAACTGACAGCTTGGTCTTGGTCAGAAATACTGTACTACGGTATATGTGGGAGATCTCAGCCATGTTGTTCAAATTTTCCTATCTGTGAAATGAACTAGCTTGGAGTTGCCTTGGGTTTTTAACTTGGAAAGGAGAGCAGAACTATTTTGGATAGGGGGGGGGGAAGAGAGGATGACACAGATCTAGTATATCAGGAACACAAAAGTATGGATGGAGCTTTAGATATGTATCATTGTAACATAATCTGGTTCAAAAGATCAAAGACAGATCTTCATAATTCCTTATTGCAGAGCCTTATCTGCATGGGAAGCTTATAACTATAAATGATGAATTGGCTTCTTTATTTTCCTAAAGGAGGAGTGTCTGCAAGGTATAGTTAAAAAAAAATCAACATAGTGGCCATGACATTATTTATTTATTTATCAAATGCCTCCCACATCAGAACTCATTGCGATTGAAGGCCCACCTGTTTTTTATGAGCAGCATGCCATCTGTCCACAGGATAGTCTGAAATTAAAGACAGAAGTAACCTTATGGCAATCTTTTTTTAAAAAAAAACTAGTAATGCCAATTATTTTATTTTCTTCAAGATGCAGGCAACAAACCTGGATGCATTTGGGATCATCCTGCTTATTTTGTAAACAACCTACCTTGGATAAGAAGTAGACTAGATGAACATTTCCGCATCCTTATCCCTCCAAAGACTCCCTTAGATCATTTCTAAGGTCTTTTCTGTGAATCTGCCCCCCCCAAAAAAGCTTTCAATCTACCTGTATTTATAACCATAACTGAGACCAAAATTACCACTGCTAAGCAAGGAGATTGTTAAGTGACTTGCCCCCAATTTTACAATCTTTTTGCCAGGATTGTTAAGCAAATCTCTGCAGTAGATAAATGAATCATATGGTTGTTAAGCAAATCTGGATTCCCCCTTTGATTTTGCTTATCAGAAGTCATCTGGGAAGATTGCAAATGGCAATCACATATCCCTAGGATCTCAAAGGTGCTTTTTCCAACAGGCAACTGGACTTCGTTTTTTCTTTGAGAGCTTTTCACTTCTCACCCAAGAAGCTTCTTTCAGTTGTCTGACTGAAGAAGCTTCTTGGATGGGAAGCGAAATGTTTTCAAAGAAAAAAATGAAGCTCAGTCGCCTTTTGGAAAAAGCACTCTCGGGACAGCCATGA